TAGTTTACAACATACTTTCATGAATACAATTTTATGTAATCTTTTTGTGGTAAAATATACATAAAATTTACCATTTTCACCACTTTTAAGTGTACAATTCAGTGCATTAAATACATTCACGTTGTGCAACCCAAGCTGAACTCTGTACCCATTAAACACTAATCCCCTAGTCCCCTCTCTCAGCTCCTGGAAAACACCTACTTTCAGTCTCTATGAATTTTGTTACTCTAGGCACCTCACATAAGTGGAATCATACAATGTCAGCCCTTTTGTGTTTGGTTTATTTCACTTAGCTTAATGTCTTCAAGGTTCACCTGTGTTATAGGAATTTCTTTCCTTTTTAAGGAATCATATTCCATTATATCTATGTACCACATTGTGTTTACCCATTCACCCATTGATGGACATTTAGGTTGTTTCTAACTTTTGGATATTGTGAATGCTGCTGCTGTGAACATGGGTTTACAAATATCTACTCAAGTCCCTGCTTTTAATTCCTTAGTGTATATACTCAGATGTGGAATTTATGGGTCTTACGGTAGTTCTATGTTTAATTTTTAATACGTACTGTTTCCACAGTGGCTGCACCATTTTACATTCCCACCCACAACATACAAGAATTTTAATTTATGCATTTCCTCACCCATACTCATTTATCTTTACAAGCACTCAGTGGGATAGTAGGATGGACATCATCATCTCAGTTTCACAAATGGACAATTGAAGTCAGATTATTTGCCTAAGGTCATAGAACTGTTGAATTCTCTTCATACTCAGTCTGAACCTTTTGATTTTTTAAACTGAAATATAGTTGACATGTACGATGCAAGTCTGAAGCATAGTGTTCATTTGATACATTCATGTTGCAATATGATTGCTATGACTGTAGCATTAGCTAGCACCTCTATCAAGCCATTAGCTAACACCTCTATCATGTCACATAATTATCATTTATTTTTTGTGGTGGGAACAATTAAGAGCTATATTCTTAGCACTTTTGAAGGTTATACTACAGTATTGTTGACTATAGCCACTCTGCTGTGTACTAGATTCCCCAGGACTTATTTATCTACTACCTGCAGGTTTGTACTCTTAAACATCTCCCCAGCTCCCCTCCCTCCAGCTTCTGGTGACCACCGTTCTACTGTTTTCGAAGTTTGGCTCTTTTAGATTCTACGTATAAATGAGATCGTGTATTATTTGTTTTCTTGGTCTGACTTATCTCACTTAGCATAATGTCCTCTAAGTCCATCCATGATGTCAAGTGGCAGGACCTCCTTTCTCATGGTTGAAAATATTCCATTACATATATGTACCACAACTTCTTTATCCACTCATCATTAGGGGGACACTTAGGTTAATTCCCAAATACGTCAGTTATAGTTTACTCCGACTACCACCTCATTTTGTTTTAGTTCTCCCTTCTCTGTCTCCAGAGTTTGTTATATACAGTAGGCCTTCAGTGCTTCGTAAGTGGGAAATGACTGAACTCACGTGTAAGGTTGTGAGGTGGGATGTTACCTGCTGCTTACTCTCACTTCTGGGTTAATTTGTTTGGCCAATAATAAGGATGATAAACTTTCTTCTCAAAGATATCAGGCTTAGGTGAGATCATTATATACCATTGTTGAACCTTCCCTTATAATTTTTTATATATTTTTTTCTGTCTTGTATCAAAAGATTGAAGATGATGCTAGCTGTCTCTCAGTTTCTTCCACTTTCAGTGGAAACTCACCATATCCCAAGGTAACTCTACTTACCCTGGATCAAATTTTGTTCAAGCCTCCAACTAAGAACAGTTCCTCTTAATGGTCCTTCAGGCCTACCCTTTTGACTTTCCAAGCTTCCCATCTGCAGGGTAAACATCCCTAAAATTTCAGGTAGGCTCTTGGAAGGTGGCCCCTTAAAGCAGCACTATCCTAGCTGGCCCTCCAGCTGGTTGGTGGCCTCCTTTTTGTTTGAGATATAATTCACATAGTATACAATTTTCCCTTTTAAAGCTTACAACTCAGTGGTTTTCGATATATCTACAAAGCTGTGCAACAATCACCACTAATTTCAGAACACTGTCATCACCCCAAGAAGAAACCTTGTCCCCATTGGCAGCCACTCCCCACTCTCCTCCTGAACCAGCCCCTGGAAACCACTAGTCTATACTTTGTGGATTTGCCTATTCTGGACATTTCGTATTAATAGAATCAGACAATATGTGGCCTTTTGTGTCTGGCTTCTTTCACTGAGCATGTTTCAAAGTTCATCCATGTTGGCATATATATCAGTACTTCATTCCTTTTCATGGCTGAATAATATTCTATTGTATGGGTATATAGTCTATTCTATCTTTGCAGAAATCTCTCTTCAAATGCTTCGCCTTTTTCATTGGGTTGTTTCTTATTTTGGTGTCATTAATATACAACTACATGAGCAACACTGTGGTTACAGATTCCCCCCATTATAAGTCCCCCCAACACACCCCATTACAGTCACTGTCCCTCAGCGTAGTGAGATGCTATGGAGTCACCACTTGTCTTCTCTGTGCTGTGCTGCCTTCCCCGTGCCCCCACCCCCACCCGCACATTACATTGCTAATCGTAATGCCCCTTATTCCTCTTCTCCCTCCCTGGTTGTCTGTTCATTACAGAATTTTTATATAGTCTGTATATACAGACCCTTACCAGATACGATTTGCAAATATATTATCCCATTCTGTGGTTTTTTTTTTCACTTTCCTGATAGTGTCCTTTGATGCACAGTTTTAAATTTTGAGAAAGTCCAATTTTTATTTTGGTTGCTTGTGCTTTTGATATCTCATCGAAGTAACCACTGCCTAGTCCAAGGTTATTATGATTTATACTTGTTCTCTTCCATGATTCTTATAGTTTTGGTTATTACATTTACGTCTACAGTCTATCTTGAGTTACTTTTTCTATTTGTGGTGAGCTAGAGGTCCAGCTTCATTCTTCTGAATGTGGGTATCTAGTTCTTGCACTGTTTGTTGAAAAAGACTATTCTATGATCTTTTCATTTTTTTAGGTTTTTTCAGTGATGTTTTGCAGTTTTCAGTGTACAAGTCTTACACGTTATATTTATTCCCAAACAACTTATTATTTTTGATGCTGGCCAACAGGCTCTTTAAACAGGGTGATATCTTCATGAAAGTAACATTCCAGGAAGCCATTGGCTTCCTTGGTTATAAAAGGAGGCAACTTGGAGCTTATCTTTAGGGTTCCTCAGTTCCCGAGACCCCAATCCCTTTTCTAGTCTGTATGTTGAATTTGCTTGGAAAAGGGACCGTGTCATTTGTATTAGTTTCTTCGAGCCATCACGAGGGCTTTTCTCCAGTAAGGGAGATGAAGCTACAGAGAAGGCGGGCTTTGGAGTCCAACAGACCACTGACATTCCGGTTAGCCTTTTTTACTGGCAATGTGACGTTAACCAAGTTATTTCTCCTGAGCTGCAGTTTTCTCATTTGTCCATTGAGGTTGTTTACAAAGATTCAAGTAAGCTAAGTAAACGAAAGCAGCTCACTGGGTCCATCTCCTAGACGACTGATGTTGGAAACAGCTGTCGGAGACTTGTGGCTCTTTAGCCCTTCCCAACTTTTCCTTGTGATAAATTTCAAATACGTACAAACACTGAGCTCACATTCCTGTATTCCTGACTCTGGATTAACCCATCTTCCCCTTCCCCAGCACCACCTCTGGCCTGGGCAAGGACAGCATTTTTTCCCCCCACTTAATTATTTCTGCCACTTCTGCCTCGTAACATTGCATTGAGTATGTGGTCTAACACTTTTCAATCCAGTGGCCTTTAGCCAAAGGTTAGGCCTCTGAAACCTGGGAGTGTACTGCTTGGAAATGGGTTAGAGTTCTATTTTACTTTTCGGGGTTCAGATCAATCTTGAGCCCCTAGTACTAGGGAGCAAAGGGCAGGGGAGTCTGCTGGCACAGGCATTTCCCATCTTCTACAATCTGGTCTCAGCCCAAGTGCAGCTGAAACCGTTTTCCGCACAGAGGGCTTCCTCCCACTCTCCCAGTTCCCATGCGGCTCCCCTCTATCCAGTTTAAGTACTACCCCTTCCAGAAACGTTCTCAAACCCCGTCAGCCAGGCTTTTCCTGGCTGTTCCTCTGTATCACTTACCACTTCCTATTTTATCTTATTTAAGCACCTGTCTTTTCTAGATTGGACACTGGCTGAGGGCAGGGCCACCCTGTCCGCGGAGCTCCTCCTGGCCTGGCACAGAATGCAGGGACACCTTTTGCTGGATTGCTGACCCAAGGAAGGTGGGTGATTGATATTTTCCAGGGTGGGCTCTGATTTATGTTGACTGTGCAAGCTCGCCTCACATTAAGATACTGGTTATTTTTGTTGAGAGTGTAAAACAGTTTAACAAAAGGAGTTTGAATTAAGCTATCGGAAGATCTTTTTCTTTAGCCCTTAATGAACTATTAAATACAAAGCTTTATGACAAAAATGAGTAAATAATGCCAAAGCTAAGAGTATTCTTATTATTCACAGTTGTTCAAAGCCAAGGTAATGTAATATTCAGTTGGGGGCACCAGTAGCCTCTCCATTCCTGTACCACTTAGCACAGTACTGGACCTACTGTGGTTCTCTCTCAGTCTTCCTGGTTTTTATTTCCACATGCTTCCCCCCCACCCCCACCCCCGACTTCATGGCTGGCAGGTGGCAAAAACAGGTGTGTTTACCAGAGGATAGTGATGACTGCTTCTCTGCCTTCAGTGCGGTTTCCAGGAGATCCTTGTGATTTAGGGGCTCATTCTCATCCCTTTAAGATGAGGGTGATGGGAAGACCACGAGGCCAATCCAGAGGGGACCATGGGAGGTCCTGTACCAAGCTGTTAAGGTGAATTGGTATTTATTCAAATAGACAAAATGTACTTAGCCAGTACTTACAGTGTTGAATCCTCTGCTTCAGGCACTTAAACCATAAACCGATGCAAGGATGTGGCGGCAAGAAGTAAAACAAAGTCAGGTGTCTGTCTCACACAGTTTATTTAACAATAGGTAATAAGAAATCAAATTTAACAGTCTATACAGTGATCCAAAGTTCATATTTATAAGTAATCAACTTTAATTGCATGATTTACAACAGTTGAGGGTTTCTGCTTTCTATTTTCAAGTTTTACAGAAAATGTGTGTGTGTGTGTGTGTGTGTGGGTGGGTGGGGGCGGGGTGGGAGGAAGAAAGCAAGCAAAGAAGAAACCCCAGGGACATTCTCATGTTAAAATCATCCCACTGGAATCGTTTCTTACCCTTTTTAATTTTTTCCTTTGTTAGATGTAAAAATAACGAAAAAAATTCTTTCAAGAAACAGAACCACAATATATAATACATCAATTTGGCAGCTGCCCCTGTTTATTATGAAAAAGTCATTTTTCTCTCTACATGTACAAATTATTTTAATACTTGAAGTTTTTACGCTCAAACTTACGGAATAGAAAATTTTCTGGAGCACAAAAGTTGACTTGAGGGTGGGGAAGTTTTTTTATTTTTAAACATTTTTAAAAGAATGAACATCTTTGCACCCAGAGAAAAAAAATTGGTATTTTAATATATATTTATATTTATATATATATATAGAATGTAATTTTAAAGTAACATTAACCCCTTTTGTCCTCTGGTTTTAGAAATGTTCTTAACTCTTCCATAAAGTGAGGAAAATAGGGAAAAATGTCAACCATCTGCACCAGTAAATAATAACTATTAATATTACATATTTTCATTAATTTAAAAAAAATAATAAAACCTATTGGAGGCGCAAGGCATGAGCATGTGGTGGGCGTCACAGACCTCAGCCGCCTCCCAGTGCACACCTGAACCACACACACAAGGGAAAAAAAGACTGGTGGTAACCAGCCATTAACAAAAATATATTCTTTGTATTCTGTCATCCCTCAGGTTCATTTTGCATGTTTGCTTTAAACCACAAACAGCTACTGCACAGTTCGTATGTGTTCCAAGGAAAATTGTCTTTTAGGCTAAGAAAGATTCAAAAAAATTGTTTTCAGTACAAAAAGTCTTGTTAAGAGAAAATAATTTTTTTGCTCCCAAAATACTACAAGGTGTCCCTAGTGTATGTCTAGTGTACTCTGTGAGAGGTTTGGATTCAAGTCTGAGTTATCGGTGCTGAGTCCCAGGTCCGTGGCGCTTGCACCATGGAGGTTTGCCATGCCTGGATTGCTAGCGAGCTGAGAAAGCATTGAATTCTGGTCCGGGCTGGCAAAATGCCCTTGTTCCATGGGGTTGGCCTGGGCAGCTACCAGTCCAGGGTGTGGAGAACTGGTCTGTGGGGAAACGTGGTGTGGAGAAGGCTGAGGCTGCATCCTTGGGGAAGGGCTGGAGTGGGGGGGCTGGGACTGCGGCCGCGGTGAAGGGACAGGCTGGGGTGAACGCACTTGATTGGAGAGAGAAGAAGGGATCTGCTGGCCTTGCAGGTGCGGGGACTGAGCCTGGTTTGGGAGCATATGCTGCTGGGGACTCATGGGGTTGGGCTGAGCAGGGGACCCCATCTGCTGCTGGAGGAGTCGCTGCTGATAGGCTTGCAGACTGGCTCCGGCCTCTGCTCCCAGGGCCGGGGGAAGCTGGCCCATCTGTCCTAGGCTCCCTTGCTGCATTTGCTGCATGTGATGCTGCATCCGTGGCTGCTGTGGTGGTGGCGTGTAGCCAACTCCCTGGGGCTGTGGGAACTGGCTATGGTTGGTCATCCCAGGGCCCAAGCCTGGCCCTGCTCCCTGCTGCTGCATCATTTGCTGTCGTCTCAAGATGTCCCGGAACTGCGAAGGCATGGTGCTGTGATTGACGTTCACCTGCTGAGCCTGGGGGCTCATCCCTCCCAGGGGCGGCTGGAGCGGCTGCTGCGGCTGCTGCGGGGGCAGGCCGGCCCTCTGCACGCCCGCCTGCATGGGGCTCACATTCTGCATGGCAGGACTGGAGTGCACCCCCTGCTGACCTGGCACGGCAGGCGGCTGAAGCCCTGGCTGGCCCTGCGGCATGGCCGGCTGCCCAGGGAGGGACTGCGGGTTAGAGCTGGCATACTTGGCAGCCCGCTGCTTGATGAACGCAGCCAACAGCTGGGGGTTGGCGTGAAGGATACTAAGCACCTGTTGCTGCTGTAGGGGAGAGCTGGGAGACCTGAGAGTCCGCAAAAGGTTTTGTAAGGCTTGTTGAGACACAGTGCCTGGTTTGAGAGGGCTCACACCTACCTGGCCCAATCCTGGCTGGGGAGCCATGTTCAAGGGCTGACCGTGCTGGGCCACTGACATCATGGCTGGCCTTGGCATCCCGGACTGCAGCTGCTGGGGCTGAGGCCCTCCTCCCTGGGCCCACGGTGGCTGCTGCTGCATCCCTGTGGGCCCCATCCCTGGCTCCAAATGTCCGCTGGGACCTCTGGCCATGGGGGGTGGGTTCATACCCATGGGGGCCATGGGAGTCATTTGGGGCATCTGGTGCTGGATCGGCCTCTGGAAAATCTGCACGTGGGCCATCTGGCGCTGCGTTTCTGCGGCCCTCTGAATTTGCATTGCCATCTCCACTGCTGCAGGTGGGGGCCCCGGAAGGGGCGGCTGAGCAGTCTGGGGGGGTGTTGGGGGGGTCACCGGGCCGGCAGCCTTCCCCTGGGACACAGGGCCAGCCGCTGGTGTCCTGGGCAGGTAGGGGGGCAGGGAGCCAGGAGGCGTGGGCTGGGGTGGGGCAGGTGCGGGGGGCTGGGGTGTCTGCGGCGTGGCTGGCTGGCCGGTGGGTGTGGTGGGAGTGGCAGGCGTGGGGGACGGCAGGCCCTGTGGCCCGGCGGCTCCGCCCCGCTGCATGCTGGCCATCCTCCTGCGCAGCATCTGCGCCTGTTGCAGCCGGTGCTGCAGCTGCTGCTGGCGGAGCTTCTGCTTGATGTTGAGGCAAAAGGGCACCGGGCACTTGTTCTCCTGGCAGTGCTTGGCATGGTAGCAGCAGAGGGCGATGAGCTGCTTGCAGATGGGGCAGCCCCCGTTGGTTTTCCGCTTGCAGCCCTTGGTGTGCTGCACAACCCGCTTCATCTTCTGGCAGGAGGGCAGCGAGCAGTTGGCGTTGCGGCACTGGCAGGCGTGCACCAGGGACTGGATGCAGCGCTGGATGCTCAGGCGGCGGGAGTCTCCTGGGCTCTGCGTGGCCGCAGCCTGCTGGCTGTTGCTCTCGTCATCTAGGCCGAGACCTAGCTTCTCCATCTTATGGTCGTGGTTTTTAGTGTTATAACAGGTGATACACAAATCATAATCCTGGGGAAAAACCACAGGCAAAAGTCAGCTCTCCAAGATTTAAGTCCTTCAAAAGCACATTACATGTTCTGCTTGGACTAAAAAGCCCCTCTTTAGAGAAAGCCTCTTCAGCTCTGCCACTCAAGCATGAGGCCAGGCTCCTCCCCTACAGTGCTCAGCACTGGCATAAGGCAGGCACCCCCGCCTGGGTACCATCCATGGGTACTGCCTCTCAGGCGCCAAGCCCCCAGCACCCTCTCCTCCTCCCCTGGCTGGGGGCCTACCTCGCACACGGTGCAGTGCCAGCGAGTCTCCACGTGGTGCTTGCACTCATTGCAGGTGTAGACAAAGCGGTCCTGGCTCTGAGTGTGCAGCTCCACCAGCATGCACATGGTGGACCACTGGGCTCTTCGGAGTGAAGAGAACTCCAGGTGCTTATCCCTTGCAAGGGTGAGAAAGGCATCCCGCCCATCCATCAGATCACAGGGGATAAGGGGGTCAGGATCAACAATGGGAGGCAGGGAGTTGGCAGCAGGGCCGGCAATGAGACGGATCACAAAGAAGACCTGCAAAACAGACCGTCCTATTCTGACTCTAGAACTGGAGTAGCGCATGGCACGGGATCAAGCACAGCAGATGGCGGAGTCAGGCCAGGCAGGCACCGTGAGGCTGGGTCATTTTACAACCACACCACAAGGTTCAACAACACACCCTCTTTCTCCTATTCCACAAACATCCCGGCTCTTCTCTGAGACTGACTACAGTGGGCCTAAAATCTACATCTTGTTACCTTTTCCACCTCATTCAATAATGTCTTCAAAATCAAAATGGTCTTGGTCAGGCACAGCACATGTACAATGAACATTTTGCCTCAAAATGGTCTACTTTAAGATGTAATTCATGGTTTAACCTGAATCTAGTCACAAGGAAACACAAACCAAACAAGTCCAAATTGAGGGATATTCTCCAAAATAACTGGCCTGGACTCTTCAATAAAATGCCCATGTTATGGAAGAAAATAAGGCCAGGCACTGAGACCTGGCAATGACACAGAAGCCCAGACTGGAGTCTAAGACCAGACATCAGATGGTGGTGACGGGGTAAGTTTCCCAAGTGGAAAACCAGTGTGGCTGTGCAGAGGATGTCTTCTCTTCTAAAGGGTACTTGCTGAAGTAGAGAAAGAAATTAAGGCAAAATGTTAGCAGTTGGTGAATCTAAGTGAAGGTGTGGGAAGGGGACTGACTCTATGCAACTTTCCTCTAAGTTTGAAATTAAAAAAAAGTGGGGGCAGGAAAGATAAAAATCCAACTTCAGTCCTTGCTACTACTGGGAATAGTGAAATTTTTCTTCAGTGACACTGAAGAACACATGACAACCATTAATGTAAAGGCTGTAATATCAAGTTACTATATATATATCTTTGAAATGAATTAGTATATAACTATAAACTATTAAACTAATAAAACGTAAAACAGTACCTTAAAGAGATCAGGAATTTGTAAGCAGCTGCTGTATTGCCCACTACATTCTACCAGTTTTCCAGAGACTGAAAATCTGTGCAAACTGGCAGTAACACTTGCAATGTACTTGAGCAGGCGTATTTGCATAAAACAAGTCTTTTAAGTAAGACACATTTATAATCAAAGCACACAGGACAAGAGAGCACACACCCACCAAGTTGAGATACATATCAAACAGGTGCTAAAAGTTAAAACCATCAAGGGAGTACTTGAGGCTTGACCTCTGTGGCCCCAGAGCACTCACAAAGCAAGGAAGAGCATCTTGAAAAGGTGACACACAGGAAAGTGCTGCATCTAACAGGTGGGAAATTCGGTAACAACCCAGCCAAAATAAGAGGCAAAGAAAACCACCCAGGGACTCCCAGGAAATCTTGAGTATGGCTAGCCTCCAGTAACCACCATCATGATCGATTCCACCTTAACTAAGACAATACTTGAATTTAACCTCAATCAATAATCTTAGATTCTGATTCCTAACAGGTGACTATTGTATACATCTTCTTCAGATTAAACAAAATCATAGGCTGTATCTACAATTTAAGTCAAACCTATTATACTTCTAGGGCCTTTCCCAATTTTTATGCTAGAATTTTCTAACACTAAATGTCACTTAAGTAGCTAATAATAATGGTAACAAAATTGTTACTGACTGTTGATACTATCTATGTGAGGCACCCACTAGAACTTAGGAATCCTTCCATTTCACTAGTGTGGCTGAGGTAAAGTAATTAAGCCTCCATCATATTAAGCTACCCTGTTGACCTTAGTTCTTTAGGCTTAAAATAGGAGTGGGGGAGAGGAGTGGAGTAGCGGTGTGTGGGAGAGGATGTTCCGAGCAGCTTTACATAGTCAAGCACCATCATAAGTACCTCCTTAAAGAAGGGTTCTTTTTACCCAAAGACACTGCTTCATCAATGTAGTTGTAATTCTGTCCTTAAAATCAAGCCTTTAGTTCCCCCTCTCAGCATGACAAAACCTTCCTGTAAGAATTTGATTATGATACCTGAACAGAGTCAAACTGAGATACTAAAAAAAAACTGACATGAAGTGTAAATAAATAAATCTCATCTTACCAGTGATGCTACGTAAGGGGAAAGAAACCCCAACACATCCAATTACCTTCCCATATTGCTGACAATAACAAATAAGCAAATTAATCAAGTTTTAACTTCTCTGAGAAGCGATTACACTGTAAATATAAAGGTCTAGCTTTCCCTTGATTCTCTTCACTTCCCAGTTCACTTTTAGGAAGTTAGACAGCTGACATTTTTATTCGTATGTTTTGCCAAAGTTCCATTACAGACAAACTGGAATGGCCAATGGAGTGCTAAAGAGCTTGGGTTAAAACAAAACCGGAATAGCCAATGAACCAACATCCTGAACAACGGACAGAGATACAGACCTAGCAGGATTACAAATAACAGGGCTAGACAAGCTATGCTTATGCTTTTAAATTTAAAAAAGACACAATCCAACATATCATCTTAATTTGTAACAGTTGCAAGTCAAAGAAACTGTTATTTCCAGATTTTACCACCCACTCTAGCGACCCTCTCTTCTTTCTTCTTACCCATTAAATGATTTTTCTTTATTCTGAATTTCAGATGGTCCGATGTTCATGTCATAAATGCCAATCACAGTGGGCAGTTCTTTAGGAAACCCTGCCCTGGTTTTCCATTCCTGGCGGAATGGTCTCCGTCTTACCTCTTTATGCTTCTCCATGGTGGCGTACAGCTTCTGCGAGAGGTCATTGGATACACTGGGCATGCCTGGCTTCTTCTTGTTGCCCCTACTCAGGCTGCTCTTGTTTTTGCTGGTTTTCTTGTTGTTTTTCTTTTTAGCATTTTTGCTGTCTCCCTTTGTTACCTGCAGGTTAGCACAAAGTTTTTAAGAAGTCATTTGAATAATGCTAATGGTAGAAAGACTGCTTTCCTTTCTTTGAAAGTAGAGGTCATACTCTTATGTCTTCCACCAGCTGCTCTCTTTAGGGTAATTAATATTTACTAATGTTTTTGCATGTATTTTCTCCCAGTGAAGAATTCCTGCACTATGACCCTTCATTAAGGCAATGCTGCCTTTGCTTTTTGATCAGAAGAGACCAAGGACCCAAGACATTGTCTTCGTTTCCTTCCACTCACATTCTAGAATTTTATGGTCTATAACAGCTACTATTACAAAACAAACAAACAAAAAACCCTTGAAAAACACTCAACCAATGAATTTAAACTATAAAGATTCTTTATCAGACTAAGGGTGACTTAGTTGGCCAGATTCAATGAGGGCAGTTCTAGACATACTGTGGGGAGGTGACTGTCTAGAAGAAGCTCCTCAGGTCATCTTTCCTACAAAGCCAGGTTCTGATTTATAACAGGTTCTAATTAGTAACAATTTTTGTATGGCTAAGAATGCTTTCCACATTTATTAAGTGTTTAAAAAGAGAAGATACTGGCCTGCCCAACATACTCATAATCTGGACCTTTATAATAAGTAACGTCCGGCCCCCCTACTCTAGATGGGTAATTCTCTACTTTTCCGGGTTTCCTTCCTCCTGTTTCCATTAATAAGAAATGCAAGATTCCATTTAAAAAGGGAGTCTGATATGAATAAGGTTTAAAAATAGAACCTTATCTAAGCCAATTATTTCTTGACCAATTTAAAGAGCTCTTTCCCACCTGAGAGCTTTAAGAACAAGTTAAAAATTTAAGCTCATTTTTGGATTATACATGGGCATGAAAATAGAAGTTGAGAAGGAAAATGCAAAGCCCTTACATCTGTGCTCTCATTGCTGGTGTTTTCCTCTCGCTTTCTCTCTTCTTCCTCCTGCTCCAGCTCCTTGATGCTCTCCTCCAGAACATTGGGCCAGAAGTCACCTTCAAAGTAAGGCAGTTCCTTTGCACTTGTTAACCGATCTTCAGTAGCTTGTTTAAAAATATCCTGTGGAGAACCCGAGAATGGACTAACAGTTACCAAGGGGAAAGGGACTGGGGAGGGTGGGTGGGGAGGGAACTATGCTGATGGACAGTGACTGTAATGGGGTATGTTGGGGGGACTTGATAATAGGGGATTCTAGTAAGCATAAATTGTACATTAATGATATTAAAAAAATAGTAATTAAGAAAAACATATTTACTATATAGAAACAGTAACAAGTGACAGATACAAGAAACATGAAGGATTAAGACATCTCCTGAAAGGTGGCAGAGATTTGATACCTAAGGCCCATCCTCACTTAGTATCACCAAGAGTGAAAAGGCCTGGTCTGAAGTCTGTATTTCTGGTTTACTCTTTCCTATACCCACAAGGATAGGGAGGCTACCTGTCTTCATATAACCAAGCGGTAATTTTTCTGCTAGGACCAATGGCAGAGGCATCATCATTTCACAGTAGCCGTTATCACTTTTGGGTGATGACAGGAAGTTCATGCTGTGAGGCACACCTGCCTCATACCCATACTTGGAATTTCAGCAGTTTCCACTAAGAAATAGGTTCAAAACACCCCAAACTACAAATACTGGCAACTGCATGGCTACAGCATGACCTGCTGTGCTGCCTGGGAAAACACCTAGTTCATGTTTTCTTCCTCATGAGTAAAAATAGTTAAGAAATTTAGTAGTCAAGTTCTTATCATCAAATACCCTATAATCATGAATGGTTAAGAATACATTTGTAATATCATGCCTTAATTTGTTGACCTAAAACTCTTTGAAAGCTTTGTTTTCCTTACTTTGAAAAAGTTTGTACAGAAAAGTTAAGAGAGACATTGATATACTCAACTGACTAGATTTAGCAATTTTTAAACAGCCTAATTTTAGCGATGGAAGAGGAAGAATGAAGAGGATTTTTGTTAAGACAAAGGGCAGAACACAGAGCAGCAAATGTTCGGTTCTGTCCTGCCCCCTCTGCTCCTAACCTTGTAGTCATGGACGATGCGCTCAGACACAGCCTTGTCGAGCATCTTTTTATACCACTCCTGCAGGCGCTTGGGCTTGGGTATCTTCTGGTCAGGAGGATGGCAATGGAAGATATAGTCGTCTCCTTCACTTGGGGGACATGCCCAAATATGCCCTGTTGTATATCTAACAACACAAAGAGAGAACATTCAAGAGAAAAGATCATCCGTTCTAGAGAGAATGCCACACCGTAAGACAAGGTGGAGTCAGTACAGAAACAGTGGTTTTGCCCAAAATAATGCAAAGTGTACAATCCAGCATTAGATCAAAATCCTAAGGTCAGAACCAGGAATAACACTGGTCAGAACCAACACTAACAACAGGTACCTACATGGCCTAGTTTTCCCTACATCTCCATGGATTCCCAAATCCCATACCTGTATTTAAACACAAACTGAAAGCTACAATGTAAAGGGAAAATGAATCCATTCCAACAAGAGAGCTAATGAAATGCATATTGTTAAAGAGAAATTGCAATCTGAGGTGGTGAATATTCTCAAGCATTTACCTACCCTAAGGTAAGGAACCAATCTAACAAATTTTTCTATCTCCAGAACTTAATTTTTTTGGTTTTGATACCCAGGTGTAAAAGGATCAAATGTGGTTTGAGGCTCTGGTCCTCAACAAGTAACAACCAACCTTCAAGTCAAGTCAAACTATACCTAATAGCTTAACTGAACGAAATAAAACTAATCTGGAGTGGGTACAACTAGGGTCAAAAAGCCCATTTCTTTCCCAGCAGCAAAAGGATTAGCATCAAAGGATCTCCGACAGTTGAGATTATAGTTCTACTAGATGAAAACCAAAGTTGAAAAAATAGCAGTAAATCATATACGTGTATGTTTTGACCTGTATCTCATCACATTACCATAGCATTAATTAGTTTAAAACCTAATTTATTTAGGCTTTTTTTTTTTTAAAGAACAGCATTTGTTATCAACATGCTTACCCTAATTTCTTGACGTATTCTAAATATCCAATTAGAATTTCATGATAGACCGCAGTCCTCAAGCATTTGGGACGGAAGAAATGAACACTATCAAGGTATGATATGTATACTCTCCTGTAGCAAAAGGGGAGAAAGAAACCAGGTCAAGTCCCATGCTAAGTCCTTAGTGATGTGGCTAAAAACATCTTCTCTCCTGTGCTTTGCTCACCCTGTTGCTGCACAGCACTGTTAGTACATGACTAGACCGGGACCCTTTATAAGAGCTCGGTGAGCCTGCCGCTCTGTTACTGTCTCAGCACCCACTAGTGCCTGAAACATAGGACAGCAGGCCAATGCTTAGGGATCCAGATGTATTCAGGCAGCACCTTATTCTGGCCTTTATATTTATACTATTTTAGAAACAAGAAATCTGAAACCTAATCCTATACCCCATTTGTATGACATTCTTTCACATGCCTCTCTCTCAGCAAGGTACTAAGACAATCTAGATGTAAGCTCATTTTCTGAGAACCCCATTTTCAAATTCAGGCTGCTATTCATATCCATTTTCCCTATTACTATGACCGAAGGGCGGTATTATTTTTTTTCCGGTTTCATTTCATTACTACACTTGAGATCAAGCACATCGAATGGTTTTTTGCCCACTACGCTTTTTCACCTATTAAACGTCAAACTCCCACACCAATCAGAAGCCGGCCATGGTGAAGTCCTACCTCTGGTTGGGTGGAGGGCAGTCGGAGCCGTACTCTTGGACATGCATGCCAAAGAAGCACAAGTCGACACCATCGATCTCTTCAAAGGCAAAGAGGGCTTTGGTTCGATACGGAAAGGATTCTGCCATCTCTCCACTGTCTACAAACCTACACGATTCAGATCGAAAGGAAAAAAACCACATTTTGCTCAGATTAGAATCATCAACAGTAACCATGTCTGAGCAACTGTGGATCCAGAATAAACGGGAAAAGTACTCGATACCTTGCTTTCATGCCCGGCTTCACTTCCACAGTTTTGTCAGAAGCATGAACTACTCGAACAGTGACCTCTCCTGATTCAGGGTGATTTTGTCGCCTTAGAAAGTCATTCACACGATTCTCCAAAAAGGTGCCAAGCCTGGTAGATGGCAACCCTAGGAATGTAGATATTAGGAGTTAAGCAGTAACCAAGGTGCAAATTAATTACTGCCAGTTTTAAGGTTCAGTGTCAAATCTTATTTCTGCTTTTTGTGTCCTCCCACTTCATGAGAAATTTAATTGAATTGAGTAATATCCAGAAACACTAGTTAAGAGAGAGGGTACAAATTACCAATATCAGGCATAAAAAAGATGCTAGAGATCTTAAGATATTTTGTACCACCACCTGGTGGGGAATGTGTGTGAGAAGCCACTGAAAGCACCCTGCTGATGCTCTGATTACTGCTACTGCTGTCAGTAATGAAGTAATTTGTTCCTGATCATTTCTGCTTTTTTGTTGGATTGTTAAATTGCTGGATTTTGTTAAAAGTTAGCAATATTTAAAAATTCTTTTTAAAGTATGGAGCACTTCACAGATTTGTGGATCATCCTTGCTCAGGGGCCATGCTAATCTCTGTATCATTTCAATTTTTGTGTATGTGCAGTTAAAAGCAAGCACAATAGTCAATACTTTTTAAATGTTATTTTCTTATTTTTATTTTGAAAATTTTCCAATTTCAGAAGTTAAAAAACAGAATAAACACCCATAAGCCTTTTGTCTTCACTGCAAAATTTAAAATAACAATGGTTGAGTATTATGAGAAACCTTATGGGAATAAAAGCAACCTCTAGGTCAGAAAAAACTGCAAAAGCACCTCCAAAACTAACACTGTATTAAGATAAATTTATATCAAATTTATGATAAAAATTTTAACTGTCACTCCTTCCCTCTCACTTGACATAGGTCTAAACTCAGCTCTCTTAACTAGTGGTATGGACAAAAACTAAGGGATTCACTTATGAGATGGCTGTTCTGGACAAATATTTCCACATGTGGCCTCTATTAGGACATGCCTCAAATATAGAGAAATGTAGGAACAAAAAAACCCACACATCCTGTGTTTTATCAAGTCGTGACCCCTTACATTCATTTCTTTCTTAGGTCTCATGAATTTCACACCAAAAAGTACATTACAGTTCAACCTTAAATAGGTTATAGAAAAATTATTTCATTTTTACTTGGGTATTTTACTTAAGGTTGAAATACAGTAATTCACTTTGAACAGTTCATTAACCATGTGTTAGTGAAGTTTTGCCAAGATTTACCTGTAAGTACAAAACTTACTTTTAGCAGAAAACTTATTTTCTTTCCTAGTTCGTGCAGTTTTCTTTAAACAGCCATCACAGACAAATCTAAATTGTAAACCAAGACTGATTATATAACTCACAGAAACATTTAAAGAAACATACACTACCAAACCTTATGTATGTACAAAGTTAAAATCAAAAGACAAAACCTGGAGAAATATTTCTAAATATTTAACCAAGAGTTAATAATAGAACCAATATACAAAGAAAGAGCTTTTAGATATCATTAAGAAAAAGAGGATTAAAAGCCTAATTGAGAAAGAGGCAAAAGATATGAAGAAATGTGAAGGGCATATAAATTGGTTTACTTGTGAAAAGACGACGTATTACAGATTAAAACAGGAATTTTGTGTTTTTTTTTTTTTTGGTCAATTACATTGGCGAAAGTCTACATGCTACACTGGTGGGAATGTAAGTTACACTTTGAAAGCAGTGCCAATAATAGAGTTAAAATGGAAATTTGTTGCTCCTGCAACTACATCAGGATGTGTGCGTAAGTAGAGTTTCTTAGAAAAACGTGAGATCACACAAGTGTTCATCAACCAGCTGACTGATGTTAAACTAAGAATCAAGGCAAGTCTCTTGATCACTCCTGCCCACTCTGCAATCAGGATGTGCACTAAGGAGGCTAAAGACAAGCCACTTAAACACCAACTACTCTGATTGACCTTTGCGTTCTTTTCTGAAAATCTGTTAATTTGCCTCCTCTTTCTTGTGACCTCCACACCAGCAACAACAATTAGTCCAAGAACAGAGAACTGTAGAGTTCCCATCCTTGTAAGAGTCACTTGATGCACATATCCCCACCCACAGACCCCCTTCCCTTCCAACAGAGAGATCAGCCTCCTTTCTGGGAAGTGAGAGGTGGTCCACAGCAGCGGACAGGTCAGTGCCACAATGGACCAAAATCCACACACTGCTATCAAAGTCACAGATGATTTTCAGTTTGGGTAGATATGTAGGGAATGTTCAGAAACAGAATATGGGACCCAAGAATATAACTAGTTTCCTGAAGTTTGCATCTAGTGATTTTTATGCAACTCTTTGACTTTCACTTGACTACAGCCATCATGGCCCAAACCCCCAAAAGATGTTTAAACCAAATCCTAACTAGAGTCACCATTTAGTATACCGTTTACAGGGTGACATTTTCTGAGGTAGGAATAAGAGGAACCCCTTTGGTGCCCTCCACATCTGTATCTTCTAACTTTTCTGCTACAGTCTATGTAACATTACATTTCATTGCATCTAAAATCTTGCTAGTTTCTGGGTGTTAGAGATTTCTTGCTGTCTCTAGTGACACATCTTCCAAATGTATTACTTTTGATGTGTAATGATCACCAAAGAATTTAAAAAACAAACCAGCAGAATAAAATCATTTGTGTATGGATTAAAAAAATGCAAATAAGAGAATGATCTCTATTTTTTTGATTCTAGGTTATTTAATATAACTGGATTTTAACTATCTTTTCCCAATCCAAACAATGTTTAAGAGGGAGTATATATGATATAATCAATCACTGAAAAGAAGATAAAAATTCCCTAAAATTATCATGATGAAGAAAAAGGCTAGAAAAAATACTGGTGTCTCACCCCGATGGCCAGATGATTTCATGATGAAGGACACAGATTTGATGCATCTTTCTTCCACACTCTGTACATTCAACAAACCTGGAGATGAAAAGCCGAAATTTTTAAGATTAAATCCAAAACTTTAAACCACATCAAAACTTCTGATATTTCCCTATTTCTGACAATTCAAAGAAGTTTCTAGTTTTAAAAAGCTTAAGTGTTATACGTAGAGCAAATTTCAAAAGCAATTAATATTAGTCATTAAATGTGACAATTTTAAATGTTGACTGTGGAAAGACAGTGGCTTAATTTCCACCGCAGACTTAAACTTCCAAGTGAGACACCATCCTACCCATACTAAGAAGCCTAGCATCCCAGTCCATTTCAGTGCTCTGAAAGGCCTCACTACAAAGTAGCAGAACATGAACCTGTTTGAAAACGCAGAGGTTAACAGGGATGGAATACAAGACACTACGCAGAGGTAGCTTGGTGCTTCATTTGAGCCAAAACACTAATATCAGGTTGATTCAGTGAAATGTTAATGAATACTAACTATAATGTAGACTCGTACATTTCTACCATCTATGTAGATGTATATTCCACGGATTCAGCTTAAAGCCACAGAGTTCATCTCACTGTCCATGCAGACCAAAGAATGAAAGGAAAGTGTGCTGACTACTCAGGGGGTACACTACTTACAGTTCAGGATCCAGTGTGTCATTTTTTCTCTTGGAAAATTGTTCTTTATTTATTGTACTAAGGAGAGAAGAGGGACAGAATAAGAAAAAGCAATACAGAAAGAAGAGCTACCCGAGTACTGTTCTAACAAAAGAACAAATCTCATCCTGTAAATGGATTATTTAAATCGAAGAATATACTGAAGATTCATCAAACAGGTACATTCTTGGTTCCCACAAAACACATGTTTACATAAAGGAATGCCTTTTTTCCCTGGAAAGGACTCTATAATACTCATTTTTTCAGGATGGTCTAGTCACACTTTTTATAGTAATAGAAAATTTCAGTATTAAGAATACATACTTCAGGTTTAGAGTTACCCCAAAAAGAGTAATTTTAAAGGGTAAAAATTATTTATAGTATTCATCTTAAAATGTTCCCACAGCCTCCCATCCCAAAATCTAGCATACCACACTATTTATAACCTCATAAACACAGATGCTAACAAATCTTATCATTCTCTACCTAGAATAAATAAATTTTATGGGGCCCAAATTTGACTCCTGTGATTTCTCCTTATAAAAATGAGGGCATTTCTACATTTAAACTGTTTTCTTATATTTATACCCTAGAGATTCATCTCTAAATGGCCCACAGTCTTGCTACTCAAAGTATTATGCTCTGAATGATAGCAGCACAGAAGGAACAGGGATCTTGTTAATTAATGATGCAGATTCTTCACTACAGACCTGTACAGTTGCAAGGGGTTTCTAGACTCTTTTAAAAGTAGAGATGTACTGTCCTAAGACCTAGAACATGTAGTGACCCCACCAAGCGGTACTAACGGGAAGGTTGCCTTCCTTTCCTGAATCATGGAAACCTGGCTAGAGGCAACTTCCCTGGTTTAGTCAAGGGTCAGAAGACTCCTTCAGGAGACCCACCACCTACTTTCCAGACCACCATCAGACCCTACTATATTGTATTTAAATTATAATTGAAGGAAAAGTACAAGTTCAAAATCAAATTTGGAAAATTTAACCAGTGTTTTTATCAGAAGCCCTGTTTTTACTAGTAATGTAGCAATTCCATACTTTACATTCTGAACTGTTTCTGTTTAGTATAGGTTAAAACAGAAAGAAAAAGCTGAAGACTATTAAAGTACACCAAACAGTTCTTTCTTCCTAAAACAGTTGAACTTTGAAATACAGTGTGTCTAACTAAATCTTTGAGATTAAAAGTACTCTTAGACAATTTAGGCTAAGTTTGAAAATTTTTCTTGGCATTTACCAAACAACAAGAGCTTGTACCACACTCCAACAAACCACTAAGCCCCTACGATTGTCACAAATGATATTCACAATTATAGTGATTTTGGTACTGCTAACCTACCTGAGGTTGTAAGGTGGTTACTTGTTCAATTCCCCTCGTACCCAAAACAGTTAATGAAATTTCTTTGCATGACAGCCTTTCAATTTTTAGGAGAAAAGGTGACTGCTTCCTTATAGAAATGTATCTAAAATGACTACTCAGTTCTGATGCAGTACCTAGATCAACACTGACAGAAGTTTCTATGATGGAAATGCTCTCTGTCTACCCTGACCAATATGGTAGCCACTAGCCACAGATGTCTGCTGTGCAGTTCGAACGTGGAATGTTAAACTTTATTTACTTTAACTTGTTTAAATAGCCACTTGTGGTTAATGGCTACCATACTGGGCAGTGTAACTAACCCAAGACCACTTAGAAACCTGACAACTAGTCATCTGACAATAAACAGAAGACAGCACTTTCCAAAATAATATAGTTACTACTTACGTTTGAGGTTGGGAAGGGTCATCCCCCAAAGAAACGCTCTCCCCTTGGATTTCATTGAAACACTTCTCACAGAAATGATACCTGTCGGCAAGAAGGCCATACTGGGGTGAACTGTTCCGTTCACACAACACAGCCCAAGCCAAGCAACGAAGCCACCAATCACAGCAGGCCAAGGAGGGGGACGGGAGCAGACAGCAGGTCATCAACGGCGACAAGGACATTCAATGATGCAGATTTATGGGCCCCACAGTTTGGGTTTTGTTTTTTTTTTATTTTTATTTTTTTTGTTTTTGCAATCAAAGCCAAGCGCAGACAACGACAAGCATGAGGGAGAAAAAAAAAACACAAAACAAACGAAGAAATGAGGGATTGCAGGACAACGAAAAACATAAAAGCAAGACAAAACAACACAAAGCAGAAAGCCAAGGCGAAGCACAGATTAGCATTATGTATCTCAAATGGGGTCACAAGCAGCAAATGATTACAACAAATAAAATAAAAAAGGCTTCACTTACACAGACCATACCCTGTCATTACAGTACTTATATGCTACTCAATGCAAATAATCAAAATGAGGAAGAAGGAAAAATATACTGGGGAGAGAGGAGAGAACTGCAACTCTATTACTCCAAGAGCAATCACACTTCTCCCCACTTCCAAAAAAAACAAAACAAAACCACAACTGTGGATATAGTGCCAGGAAATAATCACCTAAAACAACTGTTTTTGAAAAAAACTTTTTGGAAAAAAAAGAAAAAAAATACAATTGGTTTCAATCAATAAATCCACATAAATTTAAAAAAAAACAAAACGTTTTTCAATAAGAACTGCATAAGTAGTTAAATACTCATTGCTGCCATCAACTGACTTAATTTAAAAGGCAAAAGAAAGTGATGTACAGGTACGTGATCATATGTTCCTTGGTACAAAATTAAAAACCCTGTAGATTGGTGTTAAAAATCCAAAAACAGTATACATGTTAAGACTATAGAAGAAAAACTTCATGCCAGCTGTTACTTGCTTTTTTGAATACAAGATGCTTTTAGCAACCTGAAACCCACTTTTCTTAGATTTTAATGAGTAAAAACCTGGACTCTAATGACTACTAAATATTAGCAGCATGCACCTTTTTGTAAATAAAACAAAAAATTTAAGCGATTTTTTCAAAGCTAGAAATCCATCTGTAGCACACAAGTTCAGCAAAAACTACCACCACGGGTTTGCTTATTAAAGGAGCAAAGGGTGCTAACTGCCCAGACTTACTATTTCTGTTTCAGAGCCCTAAGTAAGCACCCCATGCAAGCTATACTGTTAAACAGGAGAAAAACCATAGTTAAAGTAGATTAATGAATGTAATTTGTGGAACTATACCCACTGGGTAGAAGAAAATAAGCCTATTTATTAGAACCCTACCAACTACTGCCTTATCATTGTAAGTAATTTGAAGCTTCTTTTTATTTGCTTTAATATAGGCAAAGCAAACACTCTGGAATCCTGTTTTCACATCCTCCAAGAACTGCACACAAAAAGATACAGCTGGCTAACAAACTTGTGGTTCAAAGCTCTCTGGGTAGTTTTTGGAAACAACCACAGCCAGCAGCAATTTCATGGACAAATAGAAAGACTAATTGGTTTGCAAATTTTCTCAGTTTTGTCTGAGGCTGTGGTAAACTATCAAACGACAGTAGGAAAGAGAAGAGGGGCTTGAGTTGTAATCCCATCTATGCCTACAACTCACAAAATTGTTTAACTTCCCAAGGCCTTGGGTTCTCACCTTATAAAAATTAAGGGCCCAGACTACTGACTCTAGGCTACTTTCTGCTAAAAAATTATGTAATTCTGCAGAGGCAAATGCAAAGCCCAGAACTTGTGCTGTACAGTTGTTTTCAAGCAAGTTACAGATGAACCACGACTGTATGTGTGCTGGTCCAGCTGCATGCACTCCCTGGACACACGGACCATGGTTCAGTCTAGCTTACCTGTTCTGGTAACTGTAGTAAGTGGCATCCCGGGGGATTGTGCATAACTGTTTGCCATAGCAACAGAGTGTCTGTGGGGAAAACTCCAACTGCAAAAGAAACCAGTCATTCAATAGAACACAAGCCTGAGGGACAAGCTAGGATTTTTATACTGGCCAATCAGAAACAAAAGTCAGTGAAGTCTTAGCTCTCATTTATGTTAATCATAATGGGCTACTGTAGTTTTCAAGACAGTTCACAGAACTACACGCATTCTAGTTTACTCAGTAGTCCTCACCATATCTATGAGGAATATATTGAGACCCCTAGTGTGTGCTTTAAACCATGGATAGTATCAAACCCTATAAAATGTTTTATTTCCTACAGGTACATACCTATGATAAAGTTTATACTTAAAAACAGGCCCTTAAAAATAGGCACAGTAAGAGTAATAAAGGTTATACGAATGTGTTGTCTCTCAAAATATCTTGTACTTAGCCTTCTTGTGATGATGTGAGATGATACAACACCTTTGTGATGAGATGAAGTAAGGTGAATGATGCAGGCATTGTGACCAAGTGTTAGGCAGCTAGGGACCTTCTGACTATCCATCAGGAGGAGGATCATCTGCTTCTGGACTTCGGGTGACAGAAACCACAGATGAGAGACTACTGAACTGTACCATCTCATCACCCTGAGGCAGGCTTAGCTGTCATATCCTTCCACTAGTTACCGAAGAACAGGACCAGAGCAGCTCTACGTGCAATGGCATGCACAGGAAAACCAGGACATTACAGGCACTGTGCACCCACAGGTGAATATGATCAAGTCCCCACTCCAAATGAGTTCACAATCTGATGACTCAGGATGCTAAATGGTCAAGTTTTCAATATGATTCTTATCTCTGCAAAAATTTCTTACCTTTCTGCCACAACAATATCCAAGGCTTTGCATGACTGGATCAATTTCTTGTTCAAAGACCTCAGACAACTTCGAGCAGTATTTGTACACCCGTGATGTTTTCCGATTATATAACCAGGCATTGTTGAACATAAGCCAGATGTCATCCACATACTGCCAGGGTTCCTGATACTGTCCAGTGTCTAACTTCCTCTTGATGGTAGAAAGATCCATGGGGCTTTTCACAATATCAAAGTAATCCTAGAAGGACAAGGAATACCAAGCAACATTACTCAAGTATCAGTATATTTAACATAAATGACATGTCTTCCTATTATCATCATCATTGCTTTTCCAGATAATGTTGAGTCTTTTACCTGCCCATGTTTCCAGAGAGCTGACTGATGCCCATTGCTTCTTTAAATCATTAGTCTACCGAGATTATGAAGCAGCTCAGAGGGCAGAGAGAATAAAGTAACTACTACTTTCTTTCCAGACAGCAGGCTGATGGTCTGCTGAGGCAACTCTAGAGACTTTAGCACAGTATATGTGTGATGGTAATGAAGACCAGCTCAGAGATTAAGAAGTCAAAGATCCTTAACTTTTTAGTACTAGAAGGGGCTTACATATGAGGAAACTAAGACCACAGAACATCAGTGATCCATTAAAGGTCACGAAAAAACACAGTACTAATGGATTTTTGCCCTTCAAAACACTCCATTACTGATACTACTTTAAAATCCTCAAAAGAAAATTGCAAGTAGCCTGGTGTGTTGACAGCTTTAAAAGCAGACAAAACTACTCTGGGTCAATCTTTTCTATCACAAACTACTGCTACTCAAGTGATAAAAAATAAACAAACCATATGACCCAGCAATCCCACTTCTAGATATATACCCAACATATACCCACACAAACTTTGTATGCAAACATTCCCAGCAGTGCTTTCCTCAGCAGCCAAAAAGTGTAAGCAACCCAGATGTCTATCAAACTAATGAAGGGGTAAAGGAAGTGTGGTGTATCTGCACAGTGGAGTATTGCTGGGCCATTAAAAAGGAATGAGGTACTGATTCACACGTCAATGTGGGTTAACCTTGGAAACATTACGCTCAGTGAAAGAAGCCAGTCACAAAGAATCCCAGATTGTATGATTCCATTTAAGAAAAAGTTCAGAATAGACAAATCTGTAAAGACAGAAAGCAGACTAGTAGTTGGCTGGGTGGGGGTGGGAGCTTTGGGAGGAAATGGAGAGTATGGATAATGGGGTGATGAAACTGATCCAAAATTGACTGCAGTGATATTGCACAATTGTGTGAGTACTCAAAAAACCTCTGAATTGTATACCTTAAAGGAGTGACTTGTACAATATCCGAATTACATACAAATAAAGCTGTTAACAACAAGAGAAATCAGAAGCGCCATCAAAGACTTACTGGGATTCCTAGAAGCTGAGGGTCCACAGGCTGCCGAAAGGGAAGGGATTCTGGATCCTGTCGGTAAAGTGCCTCCAACGTTGGCATCAGTGCCTGTCGTAACTCTTCTGGTTTGAAAACTTCAGAAGAGTACGTGTGAAATTAGTTACAGTTAAGCAAAAGAAGAAAAAAAACATTCAAGTCGAAGCTACAAAAATATCTAAAAAAAAATCACAAAACACAAAATGGCCTACTCTGTCCCTCTGGAAATATCACTATGGGCATATTTCCAGTTTCTAATTCCTCGTCTGCTTTGGGCAGCACCTTCAAACACCATATGTAGTCACCTTTAGACATCCTTCATGGCTCAGCTTATTTTTCAGTGAGAATTTCAGTTAAGATACTCTTGACCAACTAGAAACAGAACCACAGCCTTTCAAAAACTTAAGAAGAAACTCATCAAAATGACACTCCAGGAGATAGTGGTGTAAGAAGAGGGATGATGTCAAGCAAGATTAGACAGAAGTCCTCATTAGTGATATCGGTATCGACCATATAGACCTGGTATTGTCCTATCCCTAGAGGAATAGAACCACTAAAGGCAAGAATCCCTCATTAAAATGCTTGACGTCTTACAGCTTAGGAGGTAGACATATATACTATTTTGATGGCAAATGTTAGGTTTAAGTGTCAGGAAAGACAGAACTAAATTGTTATTGCCAGACCATGGAGTTAGTTTATCAAATTACATTCTATTTGTTCTCAGTATGATGTTTCCCAAAAGTCAGGAAAGATTTGCTACTGTGTCCTAAATGGAATTACTTTGAGCTATCATTCAAGAAGCTAGTCATTAAGGGTTCAGTTTTGAGCTTCACAACACACCGAATAGAGGCCTATTTCTTCTGCTTACAAATTAAATATTTAGGAGGGCGTATTTGTTAGTACTATGAATATTTTTCACCTCATGGAGGGGTCTGTCATATAAAAAAAAAAATCAAGACAGACCTTTAGTCTGTCATTCTTGGTTATACTAAAAAAGTAATAGAATTTGGGCAAACTTGTGAGATGAGCTGTTTTGAATAGATTCCTAACAGTAAAGCAGGGTTTGCTCTAGCCTCCATTAAAATCACACTTTAGTATAAACAAACCTTATTTTAAATAAAAGCTTTTTTTTAGCCCCGCTGTATTAGTGGAACACTTTTATACACACCATTTACAGGAGCCAGCCGACTCCCTGTTAAGTCCTACCTGTGCCACTAAAGGGGTCGCTAGAGCCGCCAGTTCTAGTCCTAGTTAGCACATCTCTCATTTCCACGTGAACTGTCTAACACTCTGCTAAGTGGCGCTGCTCGCTCAGTCTGATCCACTCGCATTCAGCAGACTGGTCTAGAGCAGACCCTGAATCAGCCTGCCTGGTTCACTCAGCAGCTGAGGAAGCTGGGCAGGTTACTTATCTTTGCTGACTCTCAGTTTAAATGGCATGCACAGGAAAACCAGGACATTACAGGCACTGTGCACCCACAGGTGAATATGATCAAGTCCCCACTCCAAATGAGTTCACAATCTGATGACTCAGGATGCTAAATGGTCAAGTTTTCAATATGATTCTTATCTCTGCAAAAATTTCTTACCTTTCTGCCACAACAATATCCAAGGCTTTGCATGACTGGATCAATTTCTTGTTCAAAGACCTCAGACAACTTCGAGCAGTATTTGTACACCCGTGATGTTTTCCGATTATATAACCAGGCATTGTTGAACATAAGCCAGATGTCATCCACATACTGCCAGGGTTCCTGATACTGTCCAGTGTCTAACTTCCTCTTGATGGTAGAAAGATCCATGGGGCTTTTCACAATATCAAAGTAATCCTAGAAGGACAAGGAATACCAAGCAACATTACTCAAGTATCAGTATATTTAACATAAATGACATGTCTTCCTATTATCATCATCATTGCTTTTCCAGATAATGTTGAGTCTTTTACCTGCCCATGTTTCCAGAGAGCTGACTGATGCCCATTGCTTCTTTAAATCATTAGTCTACCGAGATTATGAAGCAGCTCAGAGGGCAGAGAGAATAAAGTAACTACTACTTTCTTTCCAGACAGCAGGCTGATGGTCTGCTGAGGCAACTCTAGAGACTTTAGCACAGTATATGTGTGATGGTAATGAAGACCAGCTCAGAGATTAAGAAGTCAAAGATCCTTAACTTTTTAGTACTAGAAGGGGCTTACATATGAGGAAACTAAGACCACAGAACATCAGTGATCCATTAAAGGTCACGAAAAAACACAGTACTAATGGATTTTTGCCCTTCAAAACACTCCATTACTGATACTACTTTAAAATCCTCAAAAGAAAATTGCAAGTAGCCTGGTGTGTTGACAGCTTTAAAAGCAGACAAAACTACTCTGGGTCAATCTTTTCTATCACAAACTACTGCTACTCAAGTGATAAAAAATAAACAAACCATATGACCCAGCAATCCCACTTCTAGATATATACCCAACATATACCCACACAAACTTTGTATGCAAACATTCCCAGCAGTGCTTTCCTCAGCAGCCAAAAAGTGTAAGCAACCCAGATGTCTATCAAACTAATGAAGGGGTAAAGGAAGTGTGGTGTATCTGCACAGTGGAGTATTGCTGGGCCATTAAAAAGGAATGAGGTACTGATTCACACGTCAATGTGGGTTAACCTTGGAAACATTACGCTCAGTGAAAGAAGCCAGTCACAAAGAATCCCAGATTGTATGATTCCATTTAAGAAAAAGTTCAGAATAGACAAATCTGTAAAGACAGAAAGCAGACTAGTAGTTGGCTGGGTGGGGGTGGGAGCTTTGGGAGGAAATGGAGAGTATGGATAATGGGGTGATGAAACTGATCCAAAATTGACTGCAGTGATATTGCACAATTGTGTGAGTACTCAAAAAACCTCTGAATTGTATACCTTAAAGGAGTGACTTGTACAATATCTGAATTACATACAAATAAAGCTGTTAACAACAAGAGAAATCAGAAGCGCCATCAAAGACTTACTGGGATTCCTAGAAGCTGAGGGTCCACAGGCTGCCGAAAGGGAAGGGATTCTGGATCCTGTCGGTAAAGTGCCTCCAACGTTGGCATCAGTGCCTGTCGTAACTCTTCTGGTTTGAAAACTTCAGAAGAGTACGTGTGAAATTAGTTACAGTTAAGCAAAAGAAGAAAAAAAACATTCAAGTCGAAGCTACAAAAATATCTAAAAAAAAATCACAAAACACAAAATGGCCTACTCTGTCCCTCTGGAAATATCACTATGGGCATATTTCCAGTTTCTAATTCCTCGTCTGCTTTGGGCAGCACCTTCAAACACCATATGTAGTCACCTTTAGACATCCTTCATGGCTCAGCTTATTTTTCAGTGAGAATTTCAGTTAAGATACTCTTGACCAACTAGAAACAGAACCACAGCCTTTCAAAAACTTAAGAAGAAACTCATCAAAATGACACTCCAGGAGATAGTGGTGTAAGAAGAGGGATGATGTCAAGCAAGATTAGACAGAAGTCCTCATTAGTGATATCGGTATCGACCATATAGATCTGGTATTGTCCTATCCCTAGAGGAATAGAACCACTGAAGGCAAGAATCCCTCATTAAAATGCTTGACGTCTTACAGCTTAGGAGGTAGACATATATACTATTTTGATGGCAAATGTTAGGTTTAAGTGTCAGGAAAGACAGAACTAAATTGTTATTGCCAGACCATGGAGTTAGTTTATCAAATTACATTCTATTTGTTCTCAGTATGATGTTTCCCAAAAGTCAGGAAAGATTTGCTACTGTGTCCTAAATGGAATTACTTTGAGCTATCATTCAAGAAGCTAGTCATTAAGGGTTCAGTTTTGAGCTTCACAACACACCGAATAGAGGCCTATTTCTTCTGCTTACAAATTAAATATTTAGGAGGGCGTATTTGTTAGTACTATGAATATTTTTCACCTCATGGAGGGGTCTGTCATATAAAAAAAAAAATCAAGACAGACCTTTAGTCTGTCATTCTTGGTTATACTAAAAAAGTAATAGAATTTGGGCAAACTTGTGAGATGAGCTGTTTTGAATAGATTCCTAACAGTAAAGCAGGGTTTGCTCTAGCCTCCATTAAAATCACACTTTAGTATAAACAAACCTTATTTTAAATAAAAGCTTTTTTTTAGCCCCGCTGTATTAGTGGAACACTTTTATACACACCATTTACAGGAGCCAGCCGACTCCCTGTTAAGTCCTACCTGTGCCACTAAAGGGGTCGCTAGAGCCGCCAGTTCTAGTCCTAGTTAGCACATCTCTCATTTCCACGTGAACTGTCTAACACTCTGCTAAGTGGCGCTGCTCGCTCAGTCTGATCCACTCGCATTCAGCAGACTGGTCTAGAGCAGACCCTGAATCAGCCTGCCTGGTTCACTCAGCAGCTGAGGAAGCTGGGCAGGTTACTTATCTTTGCTGACTCTCAGTTTTCCCACCTATAAAATAGTGATCAATAACCTCACAGAACTGTTGTAACATTAGTTAGTTTAACTGCTTTCACTTACTCTATTTCACCCCCTTGAACTAAATTTACTTAAGGACAGGAGACTGAGGACTTGCAAACATTGGTTAGCTGGTTGTACATAAAAAAAGCCAGCATCTATTTCTTCAGTGATTATCTTTCTGTGGCCGTGTGTGAGGGGTAGGGGTTTCACAGATGAGAAGCTCTAATTTATAGATAAGTGGAAAAATAAAAGAAGGGTGACTGGCTCTTTTCTTTTTAACTTCTCATTAGGAAAAGTATCAAATGTACAGAAGAGCTGAGAGAATATAATGAACTCCCTATATGTTAACATGTAACTCACATATATAGGTGAGACAGATGTGTGGCATAGTGCACAGTAGATTAACAATAAATGCCACCATTATTATTGCTATTATTTCTGGTATTTTAGTCAACGATGTATTTAGTAACCTCTCTCCTCTAAAAATGGTAACTTTGAGAGGCTGCACCCCACAATCCTGAAGAAATGATGGATATGTCTGACCCAGTAACTACAGAAAGCAAATACACCTAAATGAAAGAACATTTCTTTTCCAACATTAGTAATAATGAAGAGACCAGGCCAAGGGCTGCAAGCTTAATGAAATCACGTTACAGTCAATTTCCGAGGCCCAAGAAGCTTGACTCCATTCTACTGTATGTCTTTTGTTTCTTTTCCTGCCTCCAGGAATACAGAGCTTAAGTGACTTACTCTTCTTCTTTGACTGTCCCGGGGCTGGAGATGATTGGGTAGCGGAAGTACTTGGCTGGTCTTCCTCCTCTTTTGGTTCAATTTTTAGTTCAGGGCCTCTTTCTTCTGTTTCTGTAGGTTCCACCTTACAGCCTTCTGCTTTAGTCTAAAAGGCAAGGTAAGATTTTTAGTTTTCCGAAGATACGCAACTGGGAAGCAGTGAGACTTATTTATTCTCCCCTACGGATGTATCTCAAGACCCTCTCTCACATGGAAATCAATGAAATGAGACCTAAGTATCAGAGCTTCCCTGTCGTATTATCTGGGCTCCTAGACTGAGGTCCTAGCCAACAATCAGCAGTTAACTGCCCTACTCTCACCTCTGGAATATCCTCTGGCTGAGTATCTGCTGGCTCTGGTTGATCCACTTCCATTTTAGCCTCCATTTTCACTTCCTGTGAAGGCTGCTTCTCAGGAATGATCTGAGAATTCACTTCTGTGCTACTAGTAGATGGAGGGTCTGATACCTGCCCTTCAATGCTTACAGCTGGTTGGGAAAGCTGGGCAGAAAGAGGGGAAAAACAAACAAAGTTTGCCAAATACACAACCAGAATTTTAAGCTATACAACAGGATGGCATGATCAATCCCCTACTTGCAGGCTTGTATCATGATACCCACTTATAGTGCTTTCACTTACTCTATTTCACCCCCTTGGACTAAATTTGCTTAAGGATGGGAGACTGAGCACTTACAAACACTGGTTGGCTGGTTGTACATAAAAAAAAGCCAGCAGCCATTTATTCAGTGATTATCATTCTGTGGCAGTGTGTGAGGGGTGGGGGTTTCAGAGAAGAGAAGCTCTAATTTATAAGAAATGGAAAAATAAAATAAGGATGACTGGCTCTTTTGTTTTTAACTTCTCATTAGGAAAAGTATCAAATGTACAGAAGAGTTGACAGAATATAATGAACTCCCCTGAATGGTTGTTTTGAATCTCACATTCTAGTGGGATAACTAGCAATCTCTACCTATTTTCTTAAGTCTTCCAATAGAGGAACTTCACAATGAGACATTCATATCTTCACAAATTACCCTACACAGAATAAAATAAAAAGTTTCCTTTCTGAGCTCTGCCCTTCTTCGCCTATTAGAGGGCAGGATGAACCAGTCATCAATAAACAGTGTTTTATGAAGAAGTTGTGACTCATGGGACTTCTCAGTTCACCAACATGACAGAGAACTAAAATATTAGCCATCAGGGATCAAGAAGAAAGCTCTAAGCCATGACATACAGTTTTTTAGTGAGGATGTAACTATTAGATGTGAATTTGATTTCTACTACATATATAACGAGTCTCTCAAAAGGAAGCTTCAAGTTGTTTCAGGCCCACACTCCTCTCATCTTAGCTCATGATTTCTTAACCTTAGGTAGGACCACACAGACACTAAATCCATTATTTTGTTTATTTTTTCTTAAATACTACAGCTCAGACTGTTCGAAAAGATTTTTCGGTTAAGATTCATGTGGTCCACTGAATGTGCTAGACTCTCGCCCCTTGTCATTCTCTCTCACACGCCTTCAAGTCTCAGAATGCAGCACAAAACAGCACGGTCAACGTCAGAACTAAACAAAACCTTTGAATTCCTTCTATGCTAGGTACTACAACAGGAAGAAAAAACAGAAAGGAAGGCAAGTCCCTAACTACAAAGAGATTCTAGTCTAACTGGGGAGACAACAGTAAGAGACGAAATAAAGAACAGGTACAGCACATAACTAGTGCAATACTACACAACAACTGAAAATATGCCTAAACCCAGTTTTGCTTACTGGAGTCACAGGCTGTGGAGGCAGCAATGGTGCCGATGGGGTGGGAACGGAGGCTGCTGTACTCTGCTGTGAAAGAGGCTGCTGTGGTGGCGGGTCAGCTACAGGAGCAGCCGGAAGTGAAGGCTGCCCTTGGGGAGGAGGTTGCGTTGGTGGTGGTGTAGGTGTCTGCCTTGGAGGTGGATGCAGTGCCTGTGACTGGGGCCCAGTCGTCATGGCTGGAGGTGTAGGAACAGGAGCTGGAATTGCTGGTGCTGGCGGCTGCTGAGCCCCTATGCTTGGGGGCGTATGGTGAGGCGTGGGGGTACGACTGGGTACAGGAGAAGGTGAGTTCTGATGCAGAGCTGACTGAGGGAGAGGGGGACAGTGAATGTGGCCACCTTGAGACCCTGGAGGCATAATAGGAGAGTTCACAGGGCAGGAAGAACTGGACATTTGTGCCTGTTAAATGAAAAACATAACAAAATTCAGAACAGAATCAAAGAAATATTTAATAGGCAGGCTACATGCATTTAAAGACACAAACTGATTAAATAGCAACGAATGTCTCCTTTTCAAACTGTGTAAAAAATAATCTTGGTGGGGAGGTGGGGCTTACCTTTGGATTATCCAACCCATACAGTTCTGAATTAAGTGGACTTCAAAAAATTCAGCAGAATGGCCTTAGCCACTGCAGAGACATGGGGCAGGTGAGTAAAATACACTTTTCTGGCCCTTATACTCTCTTCAGCAAGAGTTCTTCCTTCTGCATTGCTGTTCTAAGATTTCATTTTAAAAAGTGCTCACTACTAATGAAAATGGTTAAAGACTATCAATTTAATCTATTTCTTACTTTGTAACACCACCACTATGTCACAGAGTAATCTTTTCATGTTCAGAATACCTTATGCCTGTAACTGTTATTAAAAACTTAAAAAATAAACTATTTTCACCCACTATTTTCTTCCATCCTTTCCTATAAAAATCTAGATCAAGGTAAGTTTTAAGAATTACAAAAACAGGTTTAAAAAAATCCATTTGTGAGACATACTTGAGACACGGGTGCTTGACCGCCAGACGGAGCCAAAGGCATATTCGTCACACTCATTCCCTGTGCTGAGAACTGAGCCTGGGGAAGGAACTGGCTCTGGCTGGAAGGCTGTTGCATGCGAGGCCCATAGCCCATAGGCTGCACAAAGAAACAAAACAAAAAAAGAGCACCACATTGCTTCATTACAGGTAATTCCACTATGGCTAGAATCACCCACTGCTTTGGCCGTAATGTGGGGAGGGGAGGGTAGAAAAGGAAGTGGTGCAACATCTGACCCTCATGCTCAGAAAATGGAGAATAGACTCACGGCTGACCTAAGCCTTATTTAATAAAGAAAGACAGGAGGTTGCAAACATAAAATCATTCGATACACAAAATGAACCTAGAACTTCAACAAGAACTGAGAAGAGTGCATCAGAATTTCATGAGGTTTTTGCTAATGTCAGTGGTATTGCAACAGCACAAATTATAAGACTCCTTAATGGCTACACATAAAATCTTGTAAGTTGTGGCTGAACTGTGGGTAGCACACATGGCCCACAAACACACTGGGATTGTTACATTTCATTGTAAAATTGCCCTAAACAAATCTAGGCCATCAATACAGGAAGGAATTATGAAATATCAAAGGCCATAAACTTTTTTTTTAATAGATTAAAATGGAAATTAAGACTTCTTATTAAGAATGGCAGACAGGTGTCAAGACATTATGACAGACAACCTCAAAAAGGCTCCAGGATTAGAGGCACTAAGCTAACTCTGAAAGACAGGGTAAGGGTTGGCTAGGGTCGATGTGGAAAGGCGGATGGTAGGTTTGGAGTTTGCATAAGGAGCAGTGAGACGCTCATTGTACCTCTTCTTTACTTTCTAACCAGGCAACTGTCCCTCCATTACCCTTGCAAAAGACTGTTTCCTGCCAGCATGGTTCTATATTTGAGTAAGGTAGGCATTATGAAGAAAGGTGATTGTGTCAAAGTGTGCAGGCTTCTCAACACTGAGACTTCATGGAAAGGTGACTGGCTGCCCTTTTATAAGCTTGCTAGTACTCTTGACTACAAACAGTATCTGCCAACAAATCTTTCTTTTACTGTAAATTTTATATAACTGAGAGTTCTAAACTATATTAGATCCCATATATACTTTATGTATGTATGTGTGTGTGTATATATATATATATATAAATACACATTAACTATCACAACATATATATATGGGTGTTCTGAAACACACACACACTTTAGAAAACTGGTTTTCTACTTTAAAGCTGTAAACAGCTCTCATGCCACCACTAAAGTTCTGTAATTATTGTTTACTGCGCATTCTAATTTACAGATGTCCCACGGTTTAACCATAATATATCCCTAGATGTACTTTCAGGATATGGATTTTTTTCAAATCAGAATATATAACATAACATTCTTAAAATGAATTTCCTTCAAAGTATATCCTTTCAGTATGTCAGTGATAATTTCTGTAGGATAAATTTCTAAAAACAATTTGTAAGTAAAAGAGACAGGTAAAAATTAAGGAATTTAGTATTTACTGCCTAATTGTGGTATATGGTTTGGTTTTCTCCACTCCATTAAAAAAAGTAATTATTTTCATCTCTGAAACACAGCAACTACTTAATTATGTCTATATTAAGGGCCCAAATCAACAGAATTATAGAAAGAATCAAAGTTAAGGATTAATCACTTACAGTTACCTAAGAATTTTTGTTTATGAAATAAAAACAAAGAAAAAGGACTTTTTAGAATGACAGGTAACTGCCAAAAAGATTACCCAAAGAGGTCCAACTTACTGGGTTGAGAGCTCCAGGCTGAGCTAACTGTCCATGGTGCTGAAGAGGAGAGGTCTGCCGGGGCCCAATAGGCGGCTGGGGCATACTCATCGGCCCAAATTGATTCAAACCTGTGAGTAAGTGCAAAATACTAGATCTCAACACCTTTGTGGTATCAGAGGATAAAAGAATTCTTATTTCCGACTATATCAGGGCAAAGAAAGGAACCTGCTTTCAAGTGTGATGAATGTTTAGCATGCAAGTTTCATTCACAGTAACCATAGAAGGGGATTGTTAATTCACATGGTCTGGAATAAATTCCATCTTTGCCACTTGTTTTTAAATGGATGCTTGATCATTTAATGTCTTTTGTCCCTGACCTGCCAGCCAAACCGTTCTTCACCCATCCAACTCCAAAACGTTTTCTGATTTCTGAAACTGGTAATTAGGTAACTTGCTGCTGGCCTGAGTTAAGAGTAAGGTGGCAGGTATTATCTTGTAGTATACTAGGGAATTTGTTAAAATGGCCATGGTTAATTTAAGTACAAGGATTTCTTTCTTAACTTACCAGGCTGTGGAGTTATCCGAGGCATCATCTGGTTTGGCACACTGCCACGGATCATAGATGGATCAGGCAGAGGGCCATCTAAAGTGGGAGAGAAATGGTTAAAAAAAAGTATCTTTCAGCCACCTACGCTAAAACAAAGAAACAAAAAAACCACAACTCACAAAATACCTTCAGTAATAGCTTAAAGAATTCAGTCTCAATCTCAAAAGAATAAAGCTTTAAGCTAGACAGGAACCTTAAGAAAATGTTAGTTCTGAAACATCAGAAAATGCCTCAAATGTTTTTAGTACATTCCGTTAGTATATTCCCAGTGCTTTCAGTGTGACAGGGAAATAAAGTCTTAAAAAAAAAAGAAGCTACTATAGCTTTTAATATGCTGTTGTTTGACTAAGCCTGATTCTTTGTTCGGTATGCAGCACAATACTCCATTAAGAGCCAGCCACAGACCTTGGTCAGTGAATAAAATTGATACAACTTTCAAACTTTACTCTACCACTTCTGCTCATTTACTAAACGTCTGCTATACCAAATAGCAACAAAAATGATCCCACCACCATGTGGTTTACTGCAATTCAAGTTACTAAGTTCAGAAGAATTTACCACTAATATTGCTCCTAAAACTATATTACAGTAAAATTGAGAACTGGAGAAAACACCAAACCCTCGAAAAGTCTTTTATACACAACTGTGCAAGATTTACCAAGTTACATGTGTAACCTATGTTCACTGTATAAAATATAAGGAGGTAGACCTCTATTAACAGTTTTAATCTTCCACGTGTTGAACACACTTTATATAAAGTAAGTTTTCCCCTAACATACGAGGAACTTTTTTTCCTGTCAACAATCTGGATGGGCGTTGCAAACTAAATGCCAGCAGAGGACAGGCAGTTAATATTCAAGAGTGAGAAAAAGATCAGGCTGCCCCTGAAACACCAGGGACAGGGAGGACTGTGATGAGGTGGACGAAGCACAAGCCTGCTTAAAGGTGGCCACTACTCCAGCCACAGACAGTGGTGCCCTTGCAGGGGACAGGGTCAAATCTGCTAGATCCTTCTATTTTTAAAGAAAAGCCAGATCCAGATTTTATTGCAAAGTCTATAAATAAGTGAGACTAAGCAAATGAAACAATACATAATTCTACAGCCCACATGTGGCCCAAGTGCTTACAGCTATGATGTACATGATGGCTTTTACTGACTGTATGGTGGAAATATGTCAAAATCTACTGCTGACCCATTAGGTAGCTCTTAATTTTTCATTGTCAAAAGGAACATCTGATGAACATTTGAAGGAACACTTTGATGATCATTTTTAAGATAAATATTTAGAGATAAAGAATATATACACACACATCCAAATCCATTAAAATGCCTGCCCATCATTCACATTTAAACAAATACTCTCTTAATGCAAAATATATACATAGACATTCAAAAACCTTATAACATATAACAGTAAGTATCCAGGAATCCTGCCACCCCCACAAAAAAAAAAAACAGTGTTAACAGATGAGTATTTATTCCAGAACTTTTTTCTGGGAATATGTCACATTACAAAAAATCAGATTATAACAGAAATGATCTGTCACTGACTTTCTCTTAAGGATTTATATTTGTAAAAAGTTGAAGTCAGCTCCTTATTCAACGTCGTTAACAATTAGGTTTATCTTTTTCAGACTGCAAGTATATGTTGCTTGTATTAACATACCGTGAACCTCTTTGTAGGCTGATATATATATAGACCTACTACAGCCACTCTTTAATTACATAATAAACACAGGCCTCTTGCCTAAATAAAAAAAAAATCCAAGTACAGAAATACAAAAACAAGAAGTTTCAAGACTTCCATAGTCATTACTCTTACCCATAATTTTCTCATGCAAATACAAAAATTAGGAATAAGTTCACACTTAAAATATTATACTGGGTGCAAAAACTCTGTCATCCCTATTTCCCATTGTTTTTGTCTTTTAAAAAAATTGAGATATAACTGACACACATAATGTATTGGTTTCAGATGTATGACATGATTTGGTATTTGTACATAGAGCAAAAATAATCACAGTAAGTCTAGTTAATATCTGCTGCTATACAGACTCATAAATCTTTTTCCTTGTGATGAGAACTTTAAAGATCTACTCTTAGCAATTTCCAAATATGCAGTATAGTATGACTATAGTCACCATGCTGTACATTACATCCCCAGGACTTATTTGTAACTGGAAATTTATACCTTTTGACATTTTTCACCCATTTTGCCTACTTCCCACCGACCCCCACTCTGGCAACCACTGCCAATTGGTTCTCAGTATGCACGACCCACCCCATCCCCTTTATTGGAAAAGATTTCACATGTGAGATCATATAGTATTTGTCTTTCTCTAACTTACTACACTTAGCATAATGCCCTCAAGGTCCACCCGTGTTGCAAATGTCAAGATTTCCTTCTTCCTTTTTTAAAGGCTGAATAAAGTTCCACTGTGTGTATGTATCCACTAACGCTCCAATCCCCCTGCCCCACCTCCTTTCTTGAACCATTCATCCATCAACGGGTCTATCTTGGCTATTGTTCACATGGGTACATATATATTTATCTTATTAAACTCATTTCTCCTTTATGGTTCACTGTGGGCTTTTTACCTAGTCAAATTATCATTCCTTTTCTTTATGGTTTGGTTTTATTTTCTGGATGTTCCCTCATCTCCCTTTATGTTAACTTATGTTCCTAAGACAGACTGATGAACAAGACGTGGTTGGCTGTTTCAGCCTTTTCTTTCAATAAAATTTCCTTTTACTACTTTTTAACAGTTTAATCACAGTTCTGTTTATTCACTGTATCTTAATGGTTTAGAGAAGATTGTGAAGACAGAATGCCTGGACCTGATTCTTAATTTCGCCATTGACTGACTGTATGAGTGCAGCCGAGTTAGTTAACACTCCCTGTGCTTCAGTTCTTCATCTGTAAAATGGAGACAACAGCACCTATATTAGGTTCGTTGGAGTTCCCGTACCTGCTTTCTCTATCCTCTACTGATTTTTGTTCTTTTTCATTTGATTTTGTACCTATTAAAAGCTGTTAAGTCTTCTGTTTCGTTACTGCTAACATGGTTTTTAAACTCAATTCCTTTTCTATCCCCTGCTATTTTGTTTTCATTTCTTCACTGTAGAAATGTTTTCTTCTGAAAATTCCCTTTGCCTTTAGTAATACTTCTTCAAAGAGTTTTTCTATTTGCTGATTGTGACTTTCCCTTGCAGTTTTAACTTATCTACCTAAGAACCACAGGTTGGATCCTTACTGTCATTTATCTCAGTATAGTGAGCAGTCCCCTCAGGGTGAGCTGTTTGCTCAAGAGGGTAGGTAGAATCACCTTAAAGCTGTCACTCTCCAGTGGCACCTTGACCTTCACTTTAAGTAGAGGGCTCCTGGTGGTTGGTTAAATCTGTTCCATCTTCCAACTGCTTGGGTGTAAAGGGGGAGCCTCAAATTAAAATATTCTAGTACGTAGCTCTAAGGTTACTTTAGCAATGCAATACTGGGGCACTTTTAGATGTTTCTGATGGTTCAATAGAATAAATTATGCTACTGTGGATATTTCTGTGCAATTATACCATTGTTGCTTGTCATTAAGTTCCTAGACATGGAATGCTTGGATTTACAGGACTGAACAAATATTTAACTGCTCACCAAGAGTCATGTGACTATATAGTCACTAACACACATTTTTAACCTTTAGAGACTCCAAACGGTCTCTGCTAATTTTACTTGTTCTTTCCTTTTCTCATTTTTCTTCCAATCTCTAATCTTTTTTCCCAAGTCATATATTAAGGAAATTAGTGTCTTTAAATATTGAGTCTGTTTTCTAGTTTGTATTAATTATATTTATGGTAATCTTCTGTTGTACTTTTTTCTTAAAGCTTCCAGGTAGCAGCTAGCTTAGCTGCTTCTTATTTCATTTTACTTTTTCTACATTGTTCTGTGTAGTACTTTAAGATTTTTGTTTAAAGTTTAAAACTTTATTCTTCTACAACTAATTTCTGTATATGGGATAAGGTATACAAAATGCTAGATTTAGTATAAGCTAAAGGTCAACATCTACTTAGGGCTACTGAGTTCCACTAATACCTATTCCACAGTTGTTACAGTATGGTTCAGTTACTATACTGTTTTTACTTTAACATAAAACTACAATTTACTATCTGATAGACTTTAGACTTGGACCAAATTTCTAAAGAACTCAAGTAAACTTTATCATACTTTTGAATCTCAAATGCACACACTTCAGTTACTGCCCTAGTTCAAACCATCAGCAATATGATGCAGTCTCAGCTCTAGCCTTGACTTCCTTGTTTCTGAGCATCTGTGCTCCTACCTACTCAAAATAAATAAATAAATAAAAATAAGATGCGTCTTCCCTTGTCAGTGGGCCTCCATGTGTATTATTCCCTCTGCCAGAAATGTTATCGCTCTTCTCAATTCTTTTCACATCATTGCCCACAGAGAAAACGTATCTAGCACACTGCAAGTTAACAAACGAGGCTGCTAAAAGCTGATAGCAACCAACAGTTCTCCACCTTTACTACTTCAGGGCCTGGGGATGAATTTCTCAGCCCACCTATCAAATCCACTAATGGCATTAAGAGATGGCACCTGCTGACTCACTTGATGTTACCTGTAGGTAGTCAGTGTTCCCTAACTCAAGAAACCCAGGTTTTTCCCTAGCCTTTCTCACATCTTTTAAATATCCTGTATTCTTCCTCACTATTGTCTATCTACTGCTTATTGCACTACTTGGAACAATGAGTTCCAATGAATGAATAAGGCAATGCAGAATAATCTTGGCTATCTGGGTAATCATTAAGTCAAGATGGCTGCTATAATCAGGACACTGAAGCTGTGAAGATAAATTTTTAAAAAATGCTTCTAAAAAATAGTTCTTAGCTTTTGAACATATTGTGTAACATGAGATTGTGTGTTTAGGATTTATGAAAGCTGGTGAGGCCTCTGAACCCTACTCGGCCTCTACCTATTGGCTGTGCACCATATCCAAATCAGTGAACACCCGTGAAATATTTTCTAGGTGTACCATGAGAGAACATATCTTGGGGTCTAAAAATGATGCCATATCAGGACACGTTAGGGACCATGCCCAGGACTCTTATATACTATTCAGTTACTGTTTTTATTAGAGGATTATTTTCTTTACAAAGGCAAAAATGGATCATTCAAAAACTAGAACAAGTTACACAATCTAATGTAAATTTATTAGGTTGTTAGAAATAATTTTATTACTAATTTCTCTCCTAAGTAACTATAAGAAAAGCACTTACTAGAATTCATTCCTGGTTGCGGCTGCCCCATGTTAGGCCCTGCGTTCATGGAAACTGGCACCATGCCTGCAGCACTTGGTAGCATATTTTGTTTCTGTAGTCTAGTCCTTCGTTTTTCTTCCAGTTCTTTCTGGATCTTATAGATCTTCTCAGCTAGCAGGTGGTAGTATTCCGCCTTTTTGAATTTGGGAAATAAAAAAGCAGACATGAGAAAAAAAGAATTATCATCAGGTAACAGGAAAAAACAAACAAACCTAAGAACAGATGCTAGCTTCATTTCAGGAGGCAGGCAGAAACTTTTAAAAGGGGGAAGAATCTAATCTACTTTCTTAGACTGTTCCAAATATGAGGCTCATGTTTGGAATCATAATGTGAAAACAGCTTTATTATGACCCCACAAAGTAAAGCATGACATCTCAAAGTAGGTTTACGAAATACATGCTGGCAATTTACAGCACATGAAAAGAATACACTACATTTTGAAGAAGTGCCAATTTAGAGAAGAAGGTTTAACTGATGTAGAGAAATGGGAATACTACTTGAGATCGAAATATTAAGTAGTTGATTCACTACATCCTAGTGAAAATAGCACAGAGCTGATTAACAGCTCAACCACTTAAACTGACAGGACAACCCAGATAAAGTGCCACATTGAGTGCACTGTATTACTGAAAGGAAAAATGTGATTCTTAATGACATATGCTTTAAGAAAATTGCTTTGTTATCTTGACTGTGCACAGTAAGACAGGATAGCTAAAGGGTATCCTCTGAAATATAGCATCACCTGAACATGTAACAAATAGAGACCAACTGAACAACCAGAACAGGTCCACTTCTGATTTCATATAGAAAATACAAATGCTCACTCGATTATTTGCAGATTCATACATGTCCCCTTCCACTTTCCGGGCATATGCAACTAGGTTTTCCATCCGTCTGTCTTTTAAAGCAGCAGGATCCGGAGTAGGAAATATGGCTTGAACACTAGGGAATAGAAAATCCTACCATTATATCATGTTAGCCTTTTGTTCTCATCACAGAATTGTACAGTATTTTAAACCTTCTCCTAATTAGTATTTTCTCATTTTTATACAATGAGTACATTAGGTAGAATTTAAAAAGAATTGTCAGATAAACTCAAAAATAAAATAACACTGGCCCAAATGAAGTTGTCTCTTTGTAGTAAACAAAGGGTTTTCCTTATCAGAATATAAGAAATGATGCCATAAAAAATACTCCTTGGTCCCTGTCACTCTAGTGTAGAGCAGAAAAATTATACTATACAATCTGCATAAAGGAAGTCAGAAAACCTGACCTTTGTCATAGTGTAAAGCAGAACACCCTTCAGATCCTCCTATGCTCTCATTTTACTGAGTTTAGTAAAATAAAACCTAAAAATCACAACAAAATCTTAAAAGATCAAGAATGGGAAGTGAAGAAGGCAGAAATGTCTACGCTTCTGCTAAATTGAGTATTTTTTACTCTCTAGCAAGTCTCTACAAAATGCCTGGCACTTGTGTTCCTAAAGACTGACAAATGTGATTTCCAGCCACTAATTTTATCACTGGGACACCCATGTTCAGTTGTATAGTAGTTAGAGGAACCAGATGGGGAGGAAATAAATGGAAGTTAAGAGTATCTTAATTGGTAAAAAAATTCCCAAGCATATACTAATCCCTTAATATCAATTCAGGCAATTGATCCCAAATAGCCTATTGTCTCTGTCCATTAAGTGAAAGTTCCTAAACAATTGTTTGTCACAAATCAAGTTTATTCTGGAGTTTCCTCCTTACTGTCAAATTCCATTTCTAGTGAAATCATTTAAAAAAAACAACTCCTAAATGAAATGCAAATGTATCTGGTAGGCTACTGTAATATAAACATAAATTAAGAAGATAAAAAGCCAGATGGTTCTAAGCCAATAAAACACATGGATGGAATGAAGACCCTTCTATTAAGTGGTGGAGAAATGAAAAAAAGATTCCTAACCCAAGAGAGAAATGCTACATGTTGTCAGAAGTGTAAGCTCTGTTATCAGTGAGGTCCAAGCTCTATTTTTATGACTTAGGCACATTACATATACTACTCTATATGCTTTCCCTCTTTTATCTGAAAAGAGCTCTTTAAATTAAATAAGACTATTCATGAGGCCAAGTGCCGGGCATATATCAACTTTGCAACAAGAAGTGCAGAGGTATTTCACAAACTACTGATGGGTGCACATGTGGAAGACCAGACACCACAGAGTACCAGATTCAACTTGTCAGCAGTTTTAGCAGGGATAATGGCAAACAGTGTCGCCACTGCCATATTCTAATGAGCTAAGATCTGGTTTTTCTTTTAAAAAAAGGAGTTTTGTAAAGGCAGCGACACCAAAATGAATTTTAACAAATACAATGATTATTGTTACCAGGCAGAATAGTTCACACACTGTTCAAGCTGAAAGTCTCCTACAAATGATAATGAAAAGGTTGAAAAGCAGAGAATAGGAAGCAAGAAAGCCACAGGAACAGAAGTATCAGCAGCATCAGCCAGGCTGTAGAGAAATCAGTAATATTCCTGTTGTGGTTAAGTGCCTGGCAGATTGGAAGCATGCTGACATGGAAACTCGTTATGAATAAGACATGCCTACAATCTTACAGTTTGTGAACAAGATGATTTCGAAGATCCTGAGTAATATCTTCATGCCATTGTTTCCGAATTCCAGTACTGGATGGCTGAGCTGCTGTTGGCATAGGACCCAGGGAAGTCACACTGGCATTTTCACTCATCATTGGGCTTTAAAAAGGAGTCACGAAATAGTTTTAGTGAAAGAAGGGGAGGAGAAAGAAGATTTCACTTAAGCAGAGCTGACAGTGGTGACTGCAATGGGTCTAATACACTATAAAAGTCTATTTACATAAAGCAGTCCACAGGAAATAAAGTGTCTATGTGTTTATACTTGTGTGAAGGAGTCAACCTACAACATTTCATTGTGTAGCAGGGAGGATGAAGTCTTGGGTTTAGAAGACTAAGTTTTGCTTATAAGACTAAACTGTAACTTTGAAATAGCTTATCCCAGAGAATCCACTGGGCAATGGACTAATTCTTAACACAGGGATGGAGCAACTTGTCTTTTAAGCAGCGGCATACTTGCAACTTTCTATTTTATTTGCGAAGGTGTAGGATACCCCAGATAACTGAGTTTCAAATAAGGTTATAGAAAGCCTTAAATATGGACTCAAAACATATTATTTGTCTTCATTCATCAAGGATATCCTCAAATCAAGGAAACAAAACAACTCAAAGAATTCTAAAAAGTGTTTGAAACATGACACAGGGCACAAACCCAAGATAAAACTTACTTTTGAGAATTTATGGCTGAATGCAACATTGAGTCAGACAGAAGATTTGACGTTTGAACCCCTACACCTCCATTTACTCCCATAGGACTAGCACCTAGGTAAAAAACAAAACAAAAACCAAGATAGAATATTTTAAATATCAAATATCAGTACAAAAAAAAAAAAATAAGTAGAAGAAAGAAAGAAAAACTATGAAAGTACCAGAAGAAAATACTGTAAGAAATTTTTATGCTTTAAAGTAAGACCCAAAAACTCAGGAGCCATACAGACAACATTTAGAAATTTGAGTAATAAATAAAACAATCACCACAAAGAGACAAAATCAGGGAAAAATACTAGAAGCACACATAATAAAAAATTATTATTAGCAATATAATTAGCACATACATAAAGGCTGAATACATGAAGCACCCTTATAAACCATAAAATAGGAAGAACAGGTAATTTATATAAAAATACAATAGCTTAAAAAATGCAAATATGCTCAACTACACTTAAAGTAAACTTAGAGCAATGTATTTTTCATGTATGAAATTGTGAAAATTTTTTAAACTTTGAGAATATCAAGTGTTGAGAAGGGTTCAGGGAAAGAAGCCTTTTCAACCACAATTCATAGTGTGTAAACTGATTCACTCTTGGGTGGGCTTTTTGGCAACTGGTTAACTAAAAATGCATGCACATATTCTTTGACAGGATTTCCACTCTGACACACTTACATTTATATGCATAGATGCATGGACAGACTTAAGTATGATGATGTTAAAAGGAGCAAAACACTAGAACCAAATTGTTTAGGGAACTGAATTATTCTACATATGTGCTTTCAGAAGTATAATTAATGTAAGGACACGACGAACCTCAGTACTATGGTCCTAGGGAGGGGAATGTAAGGCAGCATTTGGTTTAAAGTTGAACATGTTTTACTGACTTTGACTACTCTTCCAAACTAGCTTGAATAGTTCTATGTGCACATACAACTTCTTCAATTTGTTATTTTAATAAATATTCTATTTCTTTGAAAACAGAAATGAGCAACAGCAAGTTACAATAAACCAAATTTTCATGTGGTTAAAAAAAAACCCTGTTTTTGATACACAATTCTATTAATATACCCTTCAAGGTGTTTTAGTTAAAAAAAAGAAAACAAACAAAACCTCCCACTGAAATGCAAACTGGCTAGATGTGAAGAAAAATGCTGATGCTTCTCTCATGCTTCCTAAATGCTTAGGCAGAATCTTGCTTCTAACGGCATCAGACTGGCTCTGACATGTCTTTGCTGGAAGTGTTCTTTTTGAAAAGAATTATATTGTCCATAATCCTGTATTTGTCACTGTAAACACTCCATGTGTAAATAATCCCTTTTTATAAAAATTATATACCTTTAATTTAACAAAGATTTGTTTTATTGGTGGCAATAGTATGATTAGGTACAAGAAAAAGTGATGATACTACATCAATTTGCTTATCTTCCTGCTTTCTGGTGGCGCACACAAACAGTGCACAACATTCTCTCCACAGTCTCTGGAAGTCCATTTAATATGCAGCACTGACTACAAGTAACGGCTGTCATAAATGAGACAGAAATACCCTTACACAAACTAGTATTTAAGACCATAAGAGTGAGTGAGCACTTACTTGAGAATACAAAAATGTAGAAAGTCTGACATTACTGGTATTGCCAGAGAATATGTCAAGAAGAAAAAATGAACAAAAAAAATCATGGCACCTAAAAATCAGCGAGAACATACTTTTCTTTGTTAATCTGTAGCAGCAATGTAACAAACTACTAAAATAACCTTTAGAGAGTGAGTGAATTCAGTAAGAACTAGAAGATTAATTAAGAATGTGGTCAAACATGGTCACAATGTTTTTTGGGGCCCTAGAATGGATTCCTTTTTCTCCTCCCTACTACAAAATCTCTATAACCTGATACATATGTAATAAAATTCCTGTAGTTTCATCTACTTAAATCATTTACCTGCCATCCAGACTAGAGATGTTTCAAAGTAGGGACCATGCCCTTTAGTTTTTTCAGCATACAGCACGCCTCAATGAATGCTGCTTATCATTTATTCAAATGTCCTTGTGAATCAAAGGTTACCTAAATTTTAAACTGAGAATATTCCAGCACTGCAACCAGTTCTGCCAAGCAAGAAACATACCTGTAATCCCCAGCTGTTACTGTGAATGCATTTTCCCAAGGAAGCATTAGTATGTTTGCTTTGGTGCTTCATCCTACCTGGCACTATACACCTAGGGTGAAGATGGTATGATACAGACCCATAAACATAAATACTACTTTTTCCAAAAACCTGACAGCCTGGGAACATAAATTTGAAATCCTAACTACCACATAAGTGAGATATAGAACCTCGAGAAAGTAGAAATCAAAACTCCTAAATTCTTGATGGTAATAGTTCCAGAATTTCCATAAAAGAACTGAAAGGTAGCTAACCAAAAATTTGAAGGTCAGCAATGGAAGAAAATAAGGATACTAAAAAGGTTAAAGGCAAACGAAGAGCACTCCACCGCAAATGACTTATTTATCTCAAAAGTTTAACCTGGATTTAATTATAAGAAAACCACCAAACACAACTTACAGGACAATCTACAGGGGTCTCAAAAGTCAATGGTGTGATGTATGATTTCACTTATTTGTGGAATATAAAAACAAAGGAAAACAGAAGGAACAAAACAAAAATGAGAAGTGAGGGGTAGGGGTTGGGGATAAAAGGGCACAATAATTCACAATTACAATATAAACAGGTCACGTGGACAGTAGTACAGCATGGAGAGTATAGTCAATGATTCTGTAACATCTTTCTACACTGACAGATAATAACTGCACTAAAGGGGTGACGGTTTAATAATATGGGTGACTGTTGAAACACTGTGTTGTACATTTGAAACTGACAGAAGATTGTGTATCAAAGATACTTCAATTAAAAAAAAGTCGATGTGTGATGAGCAAAAAAGAAAAGGTCAAATAACTTCTATATTAAAAAAGACACATAAACTTGAATATAAAGGCCTTGGCTGACTTTGGGGGACAACTGGAGAAATTAAAACAGACTGTACTGTACATAAGATGACATTATTGAACAAATGTTAAATTTTGCAGGTATGACAGCAGCAGTATTGTGGTTAAGAATGTCCTCATTATTAGGAATCATGCTGAAATAGTTAGCAGTCAAGCAGGATATCTCAAGTCCATACAGGAACAAAGCAAATGTGGTATAAATGTCGAAAATTTATAAACCTAGGTAAAAGGTATGTATGTACATGGTCTCTACTGGACTACTACAACTTTTAGGTAGGCTTGAAAATAAAATTCAGGAGTAAAAAAAAAAAGCACTCATACAGGTAGAAGAAATCACCAAAATACTACGTTTACCTTAAACCTGCAATGATTATGACAGAAAAATATATTAAATTATGTAAGGGAGAATACACAGATGTTTTTATGGCCCAAATTTCCTGACAAGTTTTCCCCTGGACTTCTAGTTATACATCCAATATTATGGGGTTAAAATAATATGGGTGAGACCTGACAGCACTACTTTGGAGTCCAATCTTGGAAAAACATAAAAGACAAACATTTTAGGGCACTGAATAAATGGAAATATACTCAAGTAAAATACTTTTGTTTACAAACAGGATAAAAATTTTACTCTGTTGGTGGGGATCAGTCCCGTTTGTGGATTTAGCTTACTAGCACAGGTCTGAAACCTCACATACCCTAAAATAATAACTATCAGTGGGAGAAAACAGGAGTGAAAAGAGATAGTAAAAGAAAATACACTTATCAACATTAATTTGAGTGTTAAACTGTGTGCTTCTTTACTCTTTCTGGTAATATGACACTATGCTCAGCCAAGTCATAACTCGAGTCATATTTCTGATCATCAAAATTATTACATTCCTAGTAGAATCCATTATACAACTCTAATAATGATAGAAACCTTAAAGGATCTTTAACCTGAGAAAAAACATTTACAGGAAAAACAACAACAAAACAAAACCCTGGTCTAAAGCATCACTCCAAAGTATGAAGTTTTGCTAAAAACTAGTAAATTATTTAAGATTTTGGTGTGAAGTGAAAAAGTAGTTACATTTTCATAATATGTAGTAAATACTGTCTTAAAAACCATCTAAAGACGGTTGAGAAAATTACATGACCCAGTCATGTGATTCCATTTGATATTCATATCCTTTACTTACTATCTACACTTTAGGGAACTCATAAAAATAAAATGAAAACACAGGGGACACCCTTCAACATAAAACACACAGAATTATTTTTAAAAGGGCTTTGGTGTAAAAAGAAAAACACCTCATAAGTAGGTCTTTGCCTATCTGGGCTGTGCCTGATGAACAGAAACCACACTGATGTTATAGGCTGAAAAGCAGAGTAAATATTCCCATACTAGCTTCCAATACAGTATCTAACACAACAAAAGAAATAAGTGAGGCATTCTAGAAGTTTGGTTCACAATGATGATTACTAAAAAGGCACCATAAATTGAAAAACAAGAAACAGATGGAAACTTGATTAATCTTAAATCTAATCCTAAAATAAAGAGAAAGAAACTGAGAAAGGGTAAAAAGAAATCCCAAAAAGCTAACCTCCACATAATCTTGAGGCTATTTATTATAAATGAACATACACAGATGATACAACAGCCAATGAAAAGAGTTCAACTAAGGTAACACTGAAATATGAAAAATTAATGAGAAATAACCAGTGGGCAATAACCAATTACAAAAATGAAAATCCAGGTCGTGCAGACAACTGTACTGGGTCAAGATCCTAAAACTCAAGGAAGATGCACTTTGCATAACATGGGAAAGGTTGATGAGAAAAGCTATCTTTAAGTCAAAAAAGCAATCAACTAACCAAACCAAACCAAAGAGATCAGGGGTCGGGTGGGGTGGGGCTGGGGTGAGGGGGTGAAATCCTCAGATCTTTTCCATTCTTAACCCCTTTCATGTGCTTTTTACTTCTTAAGAGCCTGAAAACAGGCCTGAAAGACCAGAATTTGCTCTTCATCCCAATTTCTGGTCTAGTTTTTAGAACTTCTCACTCAATAAAAACAAGTTATCACTGCTTCTCAATGCAATAGTGTACACTTCCTTAAGTTAAAAACAACAAAAATCAACACCATCACACTTTTGCAAGAGTAGTGGCCCAATTTTCTCACTTAGAATCAAATAATGGGCAGAAACTAAAGCCTACTGCAAATATTAACAGAAAGATGAAAATGGATTTCAGAGGAAAAGGTATAGTGGATTAATTATTCAGAATCAGACTGTTTTCTAGTTACAGAAGAATTTTATCATCAAGTAAAATTTTAGAAGAGCCACAATATTAAAAGTAATGTACTTACTATTGTTTGATATCTAACTATTTAAACAAAATATCTCAAGATGTTCAACTGCCTGACAGCAAGGGTAATACAGCAAATCTTTTATTTTACCATACAATTAGAGAAAGAAATCTACCACAAACTAGGATATTAGAACACCATCACTCCTTCCCTTTCCTCTCCAATCATGTCGTAGGATGAGTCCCGGCAAACAAGTACACTCAAAAGATTATTTCAGAAGGCCACACTATTGCTGCTAGATTTATGGGAATCTGTATTAACAATAACCACACTCACTTCCAGTTATTTCAAACCAAAGCAATATTTCAAGCCAAGCACAACATTTTGGTGTGGTTTTAAAAAACAAAAAATTGGAAACTTAACATCCACCTATAAGAGATTGTTTTACATAACAAAATACTACACAACCGTTAAAAAGGATACACTGGTATGGAAAGTGAAAGATTATGTTAAAAAGAAATAGTGTGTCACAGAATTAACACATGGGACCCCATCTCTAGAAATAAAAACTCATATGCATAAAATGATTAAGAAGGATATAAACCAGTAGCAGTTGCTTCTGGTATGTGGTTTACAAGGGGACTTTTTTTACACTGCAATCTTTAAAACAACAAATTTCTTCAAAACATTAACAAAAAATTAAGGGGGGGTTAGAAAGACACACAGAAACTAAAATAAGGAGTTGATTCTGCCTACTACATGGCATTTACAAATACAATAGCACATCTGTCACTAGGATACCAACTTACTCATGTTGCTCATGGGCCGCATGCCTTGGGGAGACTGCCCAGACTGCTGATTCTGCTGGGACTTTGCTTGCACCTGGGGCTGTGTTGGCATCTGATTTACTTGATAGGGGAGTCCAAGAGCTGCGTAGGCTCTTTCTATAGAGCTGGGGTCAATCTGACTGACAGTGCTTAGGCTGGGGGCAGACTGCTGACCCACCCCTAGAGAGCTAGTATTTCCAAGTCCAACTGGTGCTCCAGTCAAAATTGCTAGAGAAGACAAAGAAATGGTATTAAACACTGAAGGTGCCGAGAAAAGAAGACCAGCATGTTTGAGTGAATTCTAAAAAACACAAAATTATTTTATGTGACTATGAAAATCTCAGTATATATGCATCTTGTTTTACCCTTACTTCTTTTAAAAAACTTTTAGATGCAGAACTTACTGGTTAAAGGGGATCACTGGCATGAAAAGCTTTTGATCCAAAATGCCCAAAAACTTTCTCACGGACTGCATCAATGTTCCCACTAACAGTGTCTGAATGCCAGAGCCATACAACACACCACACAACCGTAGGTGGCATGATCTCTGCCAAGGTGACGAAGAGATATATGGCACCTTAATTCATTTCTTAATTTAATAGTGAACTTCTTGGCATTCCTTTTCTCTAGAGAATGTCTACTTCCTTGCCCCAATTTCCTACTGGGCTATTTATGACTTGTTCATTAATCTACGGAATTTAATTCCTTCTTCACATGCTGCATGTGTATTTCCAAATTTGCCTTCCAATTCTAAACCCTTAATGTTTAGTTTCTAAAGAACAGGGGCAGTAACTGCATTTAAATCTTTTTTCTAAGCTTCTCATCATCCAAGATTTCTAAATATAATCCCAAGATTTTTTACTTTCTCTTTAAATGATTTCAAATTATCTCAATATTTAGATCATAGGTATAAAGAGTAACTTGCCTGAAGTCAAAGCAATGATATTTGAAGTTTTCATGGATTTAAAAATGGAGCATACATTCACCTATGGTTTTTATAAAGAATTAACAATGACAAGTTCCTGCATCTTATTTTTGGTAAAGGGCCATTTACTTCTAACCTCATTAATATGAATCTATATGAAAACATTATCAGTAAAGGAGTCTCAAAACAGAGTTGACCACATTCTCTCTCTTCTCTCTGTAAAGATCAGCTGCAAACTATCTAGTGTGACAGTACTAGGCAGTCACAGGGAGTTCACATAATCAAGAAATACTCTAAATCCCACCAAGCTGTACTGGTGGGAGTCTAAGAATACTTTTGCTATAAAAGCTTCGAAAGATTTAATCACTTACACTGTTGGTTTCTTTTATCCCCAGCATTTTTAAGGGGGAGACACACAGGACAGTCATGCCTTGTACAATTCTTCCAGTGTGAAATGATTTGTCGAGAAGATGCACAGTGTGCCACTAAGAAGAAAAAGAAAAAGAAAAAAAATACAGGATGTATCTTTACATTAGTGTCAGCTAATATACTGATCACTTTACAACTGCCACAGATGTTATTAACTTGTTTCATCTTCATACCACCCTTCATAGTGCAGCCATTAGTACTAATATTTCATAGTTCACAGAACAGGCAAAAACTTGTCAAGTTATCTGCCCAGTCACAGAGTAAAGTGGGATTCGAATTCAAGTGGTCTGGCTCCAGAGCCCATTATTTTCCAACCACAAAGCCATGCAATCTGCTTTATTCTATAAAAACACACAAAAACAGATTTTCTAATGATTCTATAAATACACAACTCATATTACATTGGGTAACACTGTCTCAGTGTTTGCCCATGTGATAGCAAACACTCAGCAACATTTAAAGAATGGCATGCTGGGAGCAAATTAAAACCATTAAGGATAATCATCAAAGTCCTTTACAATTCCTCTCCTACCACATCCCTAGACACTCTTAAAATACTGAATTTTATCATAGCCTTATACAGAGCAAGACATTATCAGTAAGTAAAGGAGTCTCAAAATAGAGTTGATCACATTCTTCTCTTACTGACTATAAATATTGCCAGTCGCACACACTCTTGGAGCCCACTCACCTTGGCAGGACTTGCCTGACTGGCAGTGTGTCATGTGGTTCAGGACGTTCTTCATGGTGCGACAGTGGGGAAGGTTGCACTGCCTCACTTCCCCGTTAGCCTGCTCCCGGCGCTGGCACTTGTGAGCGTGCAAGAGGAGGACAAGCTGCTGCTGGATGAGCTTGCGCTTCTCTGGGTCAGCTGTGTGCGCTCCAGAACCCATTCCCGGGGCTACCGGAGCCACAAGGCCTGGCTGCTGGACCTGGGGGGCTTGCTGTTGGCCCTGAGGGATGATATAAAGTCACATTTAATGTTAGGTGTCATAGCGTGCTGTCTCTTTAATAAACATGGACCTGGACATTTTCAAATAAAATCTTTACGGAGAGTGAGTCTACTGTATGCCATACTTGGCGTCTTCTGACACAGGGAACTCCAAGATAAACAATGGCCCCTACTATTAAGAAGCTCAATTTAACGAGAAAACAAGTTATTACATTACCAAGTGATAGAATCAATGTATGTATAATATCAGAGAACAGAAAACAAGTGGACATAGTAAACTCCAATGGAAGCAAGGAGTCTACAGTGATAAACATGTCCAAGAAGCTTCTCATCATCCAAGATTTCTAAATATAATCCCAAGATTTTTTACTTTCTCTTTAAATGATTTCAAATTATCTCAATATTTAGATCATAGGTATAAAGAGTAACTTGCCTGAAGTCAAAGCAATGATATTTGAAGTTTTCACGGATTTAAAAATGGAGCATACATTCACCTATGGTTTTTATAAAGAATTAACAATGACAAGTTCCTGCATCTTATTTTTGGTAAAGGGCCATTTACTTCTAACCTCATTAATATGAATCTATATGAAAACATTATCAGTAAAGGAGTCTCAAAACAGAGTTGACCACATTCTCTCTCTTCTCTCTGTAAAGATCAGCTGCAAACTATCTAGTGTGACAGTACTAGGCAGTCACAGGGAGTTCACATAATCAAGAAATACTCTAAATCCCACCAAGCTGTACTGGTGGGAGTCTAAGAATACTTTTGCTATAAAAGCTTCGAAAGATTTAATCACTTACACTGTTGGTTTCTTTTATCCCCAGCATTTTTAAGGGGGAGACACACAGGACAGTCATGCCTTGTACAATTCTTCCAGTGTGAAATGATTTGTCGAGAAGATGCACAGTGTGCCACTAAGAAGAAAAAGAAAAAGAAAAAAAATACAGGATGTATCTTTACATTAGTGTCAGCTAATATACTGATCACTTTACAACTGCCACAGATGTTATTAACTTGTTTCATCTTCATACCACCCTTCATAGTGCAGCCATTAGTACTAATATTTCATAGTTCACAGAACAGGCAAAAACTTGTCAAGTTATCTGCCCAGTCACAGAGTAAAGTGGGATTCGAATTCAAGTGGTCTGGCTCCAGAGCCCATTATTTTCCAACCACAAAGCCATGCAATCTGCTTTATTCTATAAAAACACACAAAAACAGATTTTCTAATGATTCTATAAATACACAACTCATATTACATTGGGTAACACTGTCTCAGTGTTTGCCCATGTGATAGCAAACACTCAGCAACATTTAAAGAATGGCATGCTGGGAGCAAATTAAAACCATTAAGGATAATCATCAAAGTCCTTTACAATTCCTCTCCTACCACATCCCTAGACACTCTTAAAATACTGAATTTTATCATAGCCTTATACAGAGCAAGACATTATCAGTAAGTAAAGGAGTCTCAAAATAGAGTTGATCACATTCTTCTCTTACTGACTATAAATATTGCCAGTCGCACACACTCTTGGAGCCCACTCACCTTGGCAGGACTTGCCTGACTGGCAGTGTGTCATGTGGTTCAGGACGTTCTTCATGGTGCGACAGTGGGGAAGGTTGCACTGCCTCACTTCCCCGTTAGCCTGCTCCCGGCGCTGGCACTTGTGAGCGTGCAAGAGGAGGACAAGCTGCTGCTGGATGAGCTTGCGCTTCTCTGGGTCAGCTGTGTGCGCTCCAGAACCCATTCCCGGGGCTACCGGAGCCACAAGGCCTGGCTGCTGGACCTGGGGGGCTTGCTGTTGGCCCTGAGGGATGATATAAAGTCACATTTAATGTTAGGTGTCATAGCGTGCTGTCTCTTTAATAAACATGGACCTGGACATTTTCAAATAAAATCTTTACGGAGAGTGAGTCTACTGTATGCCATACTTGGCGTCTTCTGACACAGGGAACTCCAAGATAAACAATGGCCCCTACTATTAAGAAGCTCAATTTAACGAGAAAACAAGTTATTACATTACCAAGTGATAGAATCAATGTATGTATAATATCAGAGAACAGAAAACAAGTGGACATAGTAAACTCCAATGGAAGCAAGGAGTCTACAGTGATAAACATGTCCAAGTCAGGTTTTGAAGGATAATGAAGAGTTTCTTGGGAGACCCAGCAGGGACCTTTCAGGTAGGTGAAAAACTAGTTTTTGTAAACTCTGGAAATTAGTTTTTTCCAATAAAGAGGTAAACATTTCTGGGAACTGAGATGCCATGTTATCCATCTTTTTATCTCTAGTAATTAAGAATATCTGAAATATAGGCATTCGACAAACCCACAACACAAAGCAAAAAACTAAAATACATGAAAGAAATAAAATCCCTAGAGGACGATTATTTCCGAAAGTGAACATGGACTGCTTGACACGTTTACAATTACAAACAGTTTTACTTCGTGTTTTTAACAATGTAACTTTGAGAGGGCAGTTACTTTTGTGCAGCAGTATCAGACATAAATCAGTAGGTATGGTCATTCAGTGTCAAAATCCTTTGCCAGAGAGTCCTGCAAGAAAGGCTCTACTTTCCTATCCTATAGAAATGTTCACAAGCAGAAACTGCAGAACATTGCAGGCCCAAAAACTTTCACTGAAGCAACCCCATTTGATCCTATTTAGATCAGCAGCTGGTAGAGACCAATAAATATCACAAGTGATAAAATACCATGTGAAATGAGGGGGAAGGCACAAGCCTCTTTGATCTTAGGGGTCATCTATTACCTCCTAATACACAGAGCAGAAGTTCAATACAATTATTTTGTTAAAATGCTAGCTCAAAGACAACTTGGTAGATAGATTACTACCCACCATGTTGGGCATTCCTCCACCAGGAACTGTCTTTTTGTCCATCGCAAATGGTGATAAGCTATTTGGAAGTACAGACTTTGCCTGAATCTGGAGACCGAGGCCACTGGCTCCAAGCTGCTGTCCAGAATTCTGAGTATATGGTGAACTGTAAGGATTGGGGTTGTTCATCATTCCCATCTAAGAATAAGAAACAGAAGAGAAATTAAATCTTATTCCCCACACTGATAAAACAGTACTATTCCCTTTCCTTTTCCACTTCCTAGTTTACAAAGACAATTTAAAGGAAATCCTCCACATGTATAAACAGACTACAGAAGTATACTCATGAAAATACTTACATTTTCAAGATTAAAATTTAGGGGCCTTGGGAACAGTAAATTTAGAGCTATTTTCTGTAAAATATTTGAGATGTATTTTAGAAAAACTTAACAAGCATGTTCATTTAATGCTAAATAAGCAAGGTTTGCCATTCATCTCCACCTTTAATGCACTGAATGCACTTTCATTTAATGTACAAACCATGGCTTAACTTCAGTTCAACTCAATAAACCAACCAATACCTAAATATATTAGAGTTCGATACATCAAAACATTCGAATGTTTATTACTCCCACATTCTGTTTATATAAAAGGTAAAAAAATGGGTAGTGTGTGGGGACAGGTCCTTTTTTATTCAGGGTCATCATGGTATCACAGTGGTTTTAAACTGTCTGATTCTGAATCCTTTAGACAGAGCACACAAACTTTAGAGTCCACACCATTCCTTGCTGTCTTAAACCTAGCTGGCTTTACTCATTACCTGCCTGGCTCTGAAAGTAATTTGAATTCTTTGCAACTCCTATGTATTTTTTTTTTTTTTGTCGAACTGTTTTATTATTTTTTTATTTTGGTATCATTAATCTACAATTATGTTTACTAGACTACCCCCTTCACCAAGTCCCCCCACCCACATACCCCATTAGTCACTGTCCATCAGCATAGTGAGATGCTGTAAAATCACTACTTGTCTTCTTTGTGTGCAACTCCTATGTATTTTAAAAGACAGGTTTGTGTCTGTATTAGGCACATCTGGAGCTATCATACTGTGTAATGATTAATTGAAAGAACAGTACTAATTAGTCAAAAGCCAAATGTTTTACTGATAGCAGTGACGCAACTTACAATTCTACTCTTCCATAAGATCCCACTGTAAGTCAATCACCTAAGTGAAATACACAGCAAGCAATCAGAATAAATTAAGGACACTGCAATTGCCCAATTAAAAGGAGTCATACCAAAGGGTGCTTCAAATTCTACTTCTAAACAGCCTCCCCTGTCTTCCCCAGGCATCCAGGTACACTGTCACTATCTTAATTCAAGTCGCTCATCACAGATTGTGCAAATTGTGTCCAGAAGGTTTTCTTGCCTTCTAAACCTCACTTTTTTCCATTCATGAGGGGGAAAAAAAAGGTATACCAAAGCCTTCATGATCTTCACAAAGCCTACTTAAACCTATTCAACTGTCTCTACACCCACTAACGTGCAAATGTGAAGTGTTCTTGTCCTGCATCTTAAATCTCTAGCATTTGCCTCAAGCTTTTCGTCATCCTTACAAGGATGCAGTGACACATCCTCCTTACCTATTTAACTCCTGAAAGCTAATCTATAAAGGAAACAAAAGACTAAGTTCACAGAGACAGTCCTATCATCTTTTGTTGCTTAGTTTATACAACTATAAGCAGCAGGTGCAGCTTCTACTCAATTCTTTTAAGATATATTTTAAAAGTTACCACTTCTGTGAAGCAGCTGTCTACTGTCCTAGACAGCTAAAAAGATCTTTCCCACCCTGACATAAATGTTTATGCCTTTGTATTTTATCACCTTTTTTGTAAAATAAACATTTGTTAAAACGCATGGCCTCTTCTTTGTAGCCCCATCACCCTAAACCTGACTGACAAAAGAGCCTTTTGACTCTGGAAAATAGAAATGATAAAAGTCAGAAAATAAATTACATGAACCCCTGGTAAATAAAATTCATTTCTAAAATTTCATGTAGTTATTTATGCTCTGGCAAATTTATATCAATATGACATATTTATTAGTTCAAAGGTATGCCTTTAGTGGAAAGGCAAAATAATAAAGAAGAAAAATTAAATAATATTCACATTTTCCAGATGAGATTAGAGACAAGGAGTTAAGTAACTTGTCCGGTGCTCTAACAATGTCAGAGACCTGTTGTTTTGGGTGAATGCATAAAAAAAAAAATAAGGCTGAGACCTGTTGTTTTGGGTGAATGCGTTAAAAAAAAAATGGGGCAGCCTGAATAAGAAGCACCCAGAGCAAAAAACTTAGTCTCCAATAACTGGAATTTTGTAAGTGAATCTGGCCAGTAAGATTACAGCAGCAATTGACAGAGAAGCAGATTTACACCCAAGTTCAGGTTTCTTTGGGTAGTTTCAACTCCATCTCTTAAGTGCTGCTGCTAGATACGCTTTAGAATGACTAATATTTATACTAAACAGAATTCCAATAACATGCACGCCTATACTGGGGGAGTTATATTTCACTTAATTGTTTTCTATTAGAATGGAAATTTCACGATAGACATAAAATGAAAACCATTCTATCACAGACCATACATAAAAAGCCAATAGACAATAAATTACACTTTTAAGGGTTCATTATTTAAATAAAATTCTGGGATTTGTAAGCTGCTTTAATGTCTCTTGACAATAAGCTTGTTGTCTTTATTCACATGTACATATATACATATATATACACACACACACACAACCCAAGTTGAATCTGGTCTTCATGTTCATTCAAAGAGACCCGCCTTGCCTGGCTACATCAACCAAGCTTCAACCAGTTCCTGATACTGCTTGTTCCCTCAATCACAATGCATCACCCAGAAAACTCCTAAATTTACTCTACAGCAGACTATCGTCTCAAATATTCTGACTGCTGGTTAGTTGGCAATAATTCATTCCTGACACTTCTATTCACTCTAGGAGTCTCAGGCATTTCATTTTTCCATGTCCCTCAGAGTTCTGCTGCCAGTGTTGGAAAATAAAATACAACCTATCTCCCCATCCTTACTCTTTCCATCTCCCTAACCCCCTCAACTCCCCCACCAAATGTAACAAGAAAGGGATACATTGCACTTAATTTCTGCTAAACTGTAGTTAGTTATCTGATCCTGTTCCCTTCTCTATACCTAATATGATCCAGATATCCACCTAAATGTAAAAGGTCAGGGACCAGGAAGCCACAACAGTTCTAGGTGGCTGAAGCAAAAAGGACCTGCAGGGGACTATTTTTCTTTCTTTAAAAAAAAATCTGACTCAACAGGTTGTTTCTAAATTTACTATATATTAAAAGAAACATAGGGAACACAGGAACCCAACAAATACACAATAGAGACGATCACTGATTATGATAGGAAAAATAAAAAGTAGTTCCTACAATATAAGGAATATAACATTTAATGCGGGGACAAAAATCCCTTAATAATACTTGCCGCATCACAGTTAACACAAATCAATACTCTTAAGTGTGACTCCAAGATCTACCAAGTAATAAAAACACAATTAAACTACATTCAGATATTCCCTACTACTGACTGGATTCATTAAATGCCCATGTTATCTGTTTCCATGTTATATGTCAGGCACCACGTTAAGCACTGGGGTATGCTGATAAATAAGGAAGATTAGCGATACCTCATAACCTACACCAAATTTAAACATAATTTTTCCGACTCATTTCCATTACTCCTATACCATAACCTTAGTTCAGGGGGCCTCATTACCCCATAAGGAACTAGTCCTCTTAAATGGATATTGTACACTCAAAACCACATCCATCTAGACTGTAAATTTGGGCATATGACTGTCCTATTAAAAAACCATCAGAATATGGCATTTAAGAACCATCTTTCTCTCAACATGGCTTCTTCCTCCTTGACTTACACTTAATGCCCCCTGACTGGTTCCTGCTACCTGCTCCACCCTTTGCCTGTCCAAGGACACCCAAGTTCTAAAACAGAAATGCAACAATCATTGCTTACTTTGGAACTTTATAGGTTAAATATTCTCTAACATCACATGCCCAAAACCATCGCAAACTGATGTTAATTTTAAGAGAACTCTAAAACTGACATTAGTGTTCCTACCACCTCTAAAACTTTTTAAAAAGAGAAAAGAAAAAAGGTATTGCTAAGACCAATCAATACTCACTTGAACGAAGTTGAGTTTTGTGTTTTCTTAAAACACCAGCTTCATTAGTCACAAAGCACATAAAATTTGGATAGAAATTTATTCAGACGTCAGATAATACCTCTTCACATAGCATGTAGGTCCTAACACATATTAAATACCTATTAATTATTCAGGAGCCCCTTAGCATTTGGAGCCTAACACTAATTTAGGTACAATTACACCGTCTATATTGTTATAATATACTGGGTCTTGTCTCCTTTTTTTTTATTTTCTAAGGAAAAAACAAACACAAAAACTCCAGAATACTAATGAGTGACACTCTTGAATTAAGTCCTTACTTCCAACGAAAGTAAGCTTTCCACCAAATTTGTAATCATTTACTGACATCTCTACGAGCAGCACTCTCACAGCCTTGAATGCTGTTCCAGTGTTAGGTTGATCTAATCTCCCCCATTTAGCTAGAGCTACGTCTCCAGAAGATTCCAGCTTACCTACATGACGTAGGTTTGATTTCAATGCCTCCCCCCAAAAAAGGTTGTTTCTAAATTTACTATATATTAAAAGAAACATAGGGAACACAGGAACCCAACAAATACACAATAGAGACGATCACTGATTATGATAGGAAAAATAAAAAGTAGTTCCTACAATATAAGGAATATAACATTTAATGCGGGGACAAAAATCCCTTTAATAATACTTGCCGCATCACAGTTAACACAAATCAATACTCTTAAGTGTGACTCCAAGATCTACCAAGTAATAAAAACACAATTAAACTACATTCAGATATTCCCTACTACTGACTGGATTCATTAAATGCCCATGTTATCTGTTTCCATGTTATATGTCAGGCACCATGTTAAGCACTGGGGTATGCTGATAAATAAGGAAGATTAGCGATACCTCATAACCTACACCAAATTTAAACATAATTTTTCCGACTCATTTCCATTACTCCTATACCATAACCTTAGT